AGTATTTCATCCTTAAACATGTAATTAGTCAGCAGGGTGAAAATCACTCCCTTTCCAAAGGCTGCTTGGTGACAGCATGGAATGACTCAGTTGTTTCTCCAGCATGGTGCAGGTATCCCTGTTGGTCCTCAGCTCTGGCCCCATGAGTCCACAGGGTCTGGCCTTCATGTAACCAGTGCTTTGGGGGATGCTTTGCTCCTCTAAGCTTTCCATCTCCTTTAATTCCCCCCAAATCCTGCAACAGGCTGTGTTTAGAGGAGTGATAAGGGTTGCAGTTAAGCAGGGAGTGCAGAGGAGTGGATCAGGGAGAGGGCTCTGTTTGCTTGCACATAGCAAGGACCTTCACTCTGCCATGAAGCCCTGAGAACTGCTGCAATGAAAACCTTTCCAAACAGATAAACTACACATCAGCAGATCAGTAATAACTGGGAGCCAGTGCTTTTTCCCCTCAGAAAGCTGCAGGAGGGGTCTGCAGGACATGCTGCATCTCTACATCTGCTCAGGAGGGTCCTGCTGGTGCAGACCAGTCTCATGACACCAAATTCACAGCAGTTTCAAGCTGCTGAGGAGCTGACCCAATTATTTCCGCTATTTCTCCATTCATTGCTGATGCAATGCAAATTCTTTCCAGTGAGACGGGAAAAATCACAAGAGTTTCTTGCTGAATCACAAAGCAAAGCAAAAAGCAAGGCATGCACCACAGAATCCTGGAATCCTTCAGGTTGGAAAAGACCTCGAAGATCGAGGTCTAACCTTTCCCCCAGCACTGCCATGCTCACCACTAAACCATGGCCCCAAGCTGCCACATCTACGTATTTTTTAAATCCCTCCAGGGATGGGGACTCACCACTTCCCTGGGTGCCAGTGCTTGAGAACACGTGCTTCCCCATGGGCACATCCCCACCTGCCGTGGTTGGAGGGCTGTGGCACCCAGGAGCCATTTCAACACTGATCCAATAACGATGCTGAGTTGGCCAGGAGCCGTGAGTTGCCTCTTTTTGGAGATCCTAAAAAACTCCAGAGTTGGGCTTCAGAGCTTGCAATGCAATCCACTTCAGCTATCCAGCTGTCTGATCACCTTGTACAGCTGGGAAGCCAAGCAGGGACACCACAGAGCTGAATTCCCTTCCCCATGAGCCCAGGAGGAAAGCAGCATGAGCTGCATCTCACCCTAACACGGAGCAGGCACCATCTGCACTGAGCACTTGGGTATCTCCAGGCTGGTTTTGGAGCCTTGAAAACCATCCATCAGGGTGTTTTTTTTGGGGGGGGGGGAATATGGGAAACCTCCAACACACTTTTCAACAGAGAAGTCCAAATAATACACTCGGGGCCTTCCTGCACCACCATACCCTGGGCTCACTCACACCATTAGCAAATCCATCACAGAGGTCTGGCTCCTGCCAGCTGAGCTCTGACAGGGAACACATCACAGCTCCACTCAGCCAGCATGGGCACAGCTCAGGGACTGCTGGGTGTTAGCAAATACCTGCCTGCTCCTGCCGTGCCGAGGACTCGGGCAGCAAACCCCATCTCTTAATGGTTTGTTGGTCACCATCAAGGATGAGAGCAGGGCTGAACTCCAAATAGATCTGATTGTCCAGTCTCTCATCTGCATCAAAAAGCAGGGCCTGGGGTTTATCTGGTGTTCAGGAAAAGGGAATGCAATTAATGCATATAAATAAGTATATATACACATGCATCTCTGTGTGCTCTGGGTAGATTCAAAGGTTTCTCACCCAAAACGAAACGTTCACTTCATTTTCACATCTTTAGTGACTTCAAAAACATTTTTATACACAGTATCTGGCTGAAGAAACAAATGTTTTCATTTTTCAAGCATCTTCCCAGGAAGAATTTGGCTTCTTTATTTATTTATTTATTTTTTTAACCAAAGCAGTTGACCAAAACTGGCATGAAAGCAGAAATATTGTTGGGCCATCCAAATATTAAATTTTCCCCAGAAAAATGCCAGCGATAACACCACTGCTGTGATCCCACTGTGCAGATCTGATGTCTCTGCACCCACCCTGCAGCAGCCCCTGGGGCTCAGTTTGCAGTTGCTCCCTTCCTATTGCTAAGTCATAAAGAAGGGGCTGCAGATGCTGCTGGGGGACGTGGTGCTGCATTTTGGGGAGATTTTGCCCCTCCCCCAAACTGCTGCCACACCGTTAATGACTTTCTCAGCACAGCTGCTCCAAGCATCACCACACACAGGTTCCCTTTTGCATTCCCAGCACTGAGCTGCTCACACAGATACAGCCCATCAGCAAAATGTAAAAATAGCTGAAAATATATAATTAGGGTGGATGCACTGTGGACTTAATAGGGTTTTTCTATTTCTTCCTTTGCTGGCCCATTAGACACAAATCCTGGATGGAGGGAGGCCACTGGGGAGGGAAAGGGAGTGCTTTGCTGTGGTATGTGCTTGGCAAAACCCTCAAATATTTTCCTCAGTTTTATATTGTCTGTGTTTTTTATTGAGCACCACACAGAAATTGCAGCAGATTGATTCTTTCACAGCTCCCCAAAGTTGAAATGCTTTGGAGCCGAGAGCTCAATGCCTGCCAAACTTCATAATTAACTGTAATAACTCTTTAATTTGAACTTTAATTCAAACACCCATGTTTCTGGGGGACTGGAGGGGAAAAAAAAATAAAGCAAAGCAAACCAAGTGTAACCAGTTCTGGTAAAATAGAGCAGCAGCCAGAAGCTTGTGCTGTGCCAGAGGCAACTGGAGGTCAGCTGTCCTATCCTGAGTTGAAACGACCACAGAAATTGGCTTCTTTTCATTGTATGAGGAGGGAGGAAAAAAAAAAAATATATATATAGTCCTGGATCTATTCACACAGTCAAGGGTTTCTAATGGTCCTGTTGCTGCAGCGTGAGCCGGACTGGGAAGCGCCAGGAGCACATGAAAACGGGGAACCCAAAGGAGGGCTGTTCATGCAACTTCTCTGCCCAGGCAGACAAGCCCCGAGCTGTCAGAGCGTGCACACAGCTCAGGAGCTCTGCCAGCCAAACCCCTGCACTCACCCACCTTGGCTGAGCTCAGCACGGTGGCTCCTTCGGGGAAAAGCAAATCGTTGACAGGAGGAGCAGGAGATGGAGCAGGACCAGGCAGGGAATGGAGATGACAGACCCTGGGAATGCATCCACAGATTCAGCAGGGCTTCAGAGCTGTCAGCCCAAGCCTCCCGTGAAGAAGCTGAGGATCAATAGGGATATATGGCTCAAATGGTCTCCTCCAGGCCGAAGGACACCAAGGAGCATCCACCTGCCCTGCAGGACCTGAGGATTCAGCCTGGTTTGAGGCGGAGTCAGCCCGATCCGTGGTGACTTCTCACCATTTCACAACAAAGAGCCCGACCACTAAGGCACTAAGCCTGATCCAGCACCTAATCAATGCAGGATTACTTTTCTTACCTTTTTTTTTTTCTTTCTCATTCCTTGAGCCTTTTGTTTTAATAATAATAAAAAAGAGAAAGCTCCCTAGCATCATGCCACAGGGATGCCACCTTTCCCACAGCTTCACACCCCCCCCAGAGGGGCTGGGGGGGTGCCGGGACTTGCCTCTCAGAGCCGAGAGCTGGGCGGCTGTGATGGATGTACAGACAAGGAGACTCAGATCAATGGGCCTGCCAGCTCCTACCAGCAGATGAACGGCTTTCGCTCTGTGGGTACAGAGTCGTTAACTACCCAGCCCGATCGCTGTCATTAACGAGCCATCTCCGCCGTGTATCTGCTCAGCTCTGCTTTATTTACCGACCTGTCTCCCGCTCCCTCCTTCCTGCGTCCACACAGGGCCCTTCTCCCCCCATCCATTTGAGCTCACAGGCAGGCTCCGGTGCCTCTGTTGAGCCAGGCTGGATCCGGAGAGCGGGGAGGGGAAAGATTTGACTTCCCCCCGTCTAAACTGCTCCTGTAATACCGCAAGGAGTCTTGCTTGGAAGCTCTGGCCCGGCTCGACACAGCTGGCTCATGGCCACAATTACTTCCACTGCGAGCACACACAAAAAGCCGAGTGAGAGGCCAAGGAGTGGGTAGTCAGCTTGGAACGAGTCAATCAGAGGCAGCCGGCGCTAATTAGTCCCTGTGCCGTCCCCTGTCACAGCCGCCCCATTACGCAGGGACAAGAAGTCTCTCCGCGGGTCAGCCAGGGCCACCCGGGAGCCACTGGAGAGCCCAGAGGGCAGGGGAGGATTTGAGGGAGTCACAGTCTGAGAGTGCAGCCCTGAATTGCCGCTTACGGAGCACTGATCCCACCCCTCTCACTCCTTCCCCTTGTCATGTCCGGTGCTTTCCTCCTTGCTGTCTTCTACCAGAGCCATTCCACTGCAGAGTTATTTCCATTTTGCTTGCTTTTCCTAACACTAGAAAAAAAAAAAAAGAGAGCCTACCAAAGGAGTCCCAAGTGCCTGATCACAAGAACCAGGTATTAAGCAGGGAGCCAAGAAGAAAAGTGCAGCAGAAACATTGCAGAAAATATGGGATGATAACCCTGCAAGTGCTGGGAGGTGGCTGAATAGTGAAATTTTCTGGAGTACCGTGGTATTGTAGGAGAGAAACCAGCAAACAAATATTTTCATTCAGCAGCAGGGGAAAGGAAGAAGGCAGGGCTGTTCCCTGGGGAGCCAGGGAGCAGCTACAGATCAGGAGAGCCATCAGAAATAAGGGATGGCAATTGCTCAGGATTATGGCACTGGTAGATAACTGGCAAAGTCAGACTTGGTGAGTGGCCTTGAGCAGAGTATTTGGTGCTTTGTTAGTACCAGATTACCTGTTTCCTAAATCACTGTTCAAGGGCTATGGCAGGGTCTCCCCCCCCAGCCATGGGTTCCATGGGTTGATTTAGGCTCCACCAGAGCCAGCAGGACTGTGTGGGGGTTGAGTGAGCCCCACATGTGTCTGAACAACTTCCCAGAAGGACATGCCTCTCTGTGCTGAGCAAGCGTTTCAGGGCTAACGCCAACCATGCTCTTTTTCTTCTGTGTCCCCAGGTCCTCCCCTCTCTCAGCTGACCCAGGCTGGCTTAGAAGGCTGTTCCCTCTCCTGGGAAAATGGGGACTGATAGTGAAAACCCAGTCCTGAGGAATGTGCTCATCAGCTTCAACTTGCTCCTGCTGGGCGCTGTCCTCAAGCCTTTTGAGTGCCGGCTGGAGGCGACGACAGAGCCGGCCGAGAGGACGGCGGTGGATGAGGCGGGTGGCCTTGCCAACTGCAGCCCCCCCATCAAAGAGCAGCCCATGGTCTTCCACCACATCTACAACATCAACATCCCGCTGGACAGCTGCTGCTCATCCATGTTCAAGTCTTCGGGCGAGGAGGTGAGTTCAGAAGACGACCGGCTGGCAGAGTACACGGAGCAGACCTCCGACAGCGAGAGCCAGGTCACCTTCACCCACAGGATAAACATGCCCAAGCAGGCCTGCAAGTGCTCCACCTCCCTCCCGTCCCTGCAGGAGCTGCTGAGCAGGATTGAGATGCTGGAGAGGGAGGTCTCCATCCTCCGGGACCAATGCACCTCCAATTGCTGCCAAGAAAATGCAGCCACAGGTAGTAACGACATCCCGTTCGCTCTCGCTGGGGACTGAGGGCTCGAGCGAAAGGCAGGAGAGAGAAATGCAAAACCTGGTGGTGCCACTCAGAGTGCTGATGGAGGTTCACCCACGATGGGGCTCTGCTTTAGTGGAGAAGCTTGGCTCAGGTCCTGTAGGACAGGAAAACCCCCAGGCAGGGATTTGGTCACTTGGGTTTGGATGCCCTGCTCGCTGCGTAACAGCCAAAGCTGAAGTCCTTTATGATGGATAAAACTGCAGCTGGGGAGGTGTGAGCAGGGGGATTTCCCAGCCCTGCAGTCCCTCAGACGCTGTTAGACATCAGCCACTGCTTGTGGGACAGGGAGCAGAGACAGAGTTGCTGCTCTTCCAAGCTGTCCCTGGGCTGAGGGCAGCACCATGGGAGCTGGCAATAAACCCCTTCATCTTCTCTGTAGGAGGAGTGATTGCATCTGAAAAGCTGAGTTTCAAAACAAAAAAAAAGTAATAAAAAATACAGGGAAGAGCTCCTGTTGCCATGAAAGATACAAACAAAACCTATAAAAAAGGCACAAAACCATCAACAGGATAATTCACCTGAATAAAAATATGTACTTCTGTGAAGCTCTCCAAGAGCCCCCATCAGAGTCAAAGATGTTTCACCTAAGCTGCCCTTCAGAGCCAGGGAAGCAGCATGGAGCTGAAATGAGATGGGTTAGGGAAGGTTTGGGCTGGAAGCTGCATTTCCATGGCACAGGAGCCAGCATACTGACAGTTTTCCTTATGTCTTGAGGAAGAGGGGCTGTCCCTAAGGCCATCCATCCCAAAAGCAGCACAGCCCTGCCTGTGGCTCTGATGTATCAGGGCTCCTTGCAGGGAAGAGAACACCAAACAGGGACAAACACTCAGGGCATCTTTCCAGGGGGAAACTGCTTCTCACAGCAAGAACAACAGGGAGGACGAAAAATTTAAAGTAACCCTTTTCTCCCCAATGCCTACTGAGATATTTTTAAGTTTTGCAGCTATTAGTGTGACTTCTCTGGTGGTACCCCAATTCCTCTATGTGTAGAACACATTAAGATGAAATGGGTGCAGCCCATGCTCAGGTTAACAGAGTTAACCAAGGGTGTGTGGGTTGGGGAGGGAGAAACCACTGGCTGCACTGGAGATTCCAGCCCCAGCCACCCTGCAGGGTGGCTGGGGCTGGAATCTCCAGTGCAGCCAGTGGAACTCAATGCATTCCCAGCTCTAGGTTCAGCTCTCATCCCCCCTCAAAGTGAAAGCAGCTGCATTAACAGTTACACCAGAAAACACTGGTGTGTGCAAAGCGAGGGTTAAAATCATGTAGGAAATGCCGTGGGAAAAACCTGTTTTTCCGGAATTCATTTGAAACTCTGATGGGCCTATTTGGGTTACTTGCAAACACGCAGACAGTGCCATTAAACATTCATCGGCTCGGTGGAGTCTCCACTCCCATCGCAGATGCCGAGCTAAAACTGGAGTAATTTCATTTATTTTTACCGGAGTTTCTTTCAATTCACTGCACTTCGAAGGAGATCAGGATCCCTACCCCACTGCCTGAGGCATTTCCCCGAGGAAACCCTCTTTCCTCCAGCACACTTACTTACAAGCATCCTCTCTCCTCTTGATAACTTAACTAGAGGCTGAGATCTGAGGAGATCCTGATTGGCATTCCCAGTATTCGCAGTCTGGATGGGAATTGTTCCTGCAAAGTAACCCAAAGGGGTCTGTGTGGCACAGCATGTAACTGAGCTCCTTGTAAAAGTGCATCTGCTCACCCCTCCCCATAGGAGCTGCTCGGACAGGTCAGCTAGGATGGAAAATTTATATGGGGGACAAAGAGTCCTGGGGCTTGGGGTTCCTCCTGATGCAGAGGTTTCCCATGGGTTGGAGGAATCACAGAAGCTTTTCTGTTCTTCCTCGGTTCACATAAGGAAGAAAAGCAGTAAAAATCAGCAGGGAAAAATTAGCCTGGCTGGGACAAACCCTAAGCTGGAGCAGTGGGTCCCTGTTTCGTGGGAAAACGGGAGCATTGGCAATATCAGTGACTGGTGCCTTGGTCCCTGTGCATCCCTCCTCACCCTAGAGCATCCTGTACAAGGCTGCCAGGTAAAGAGCGGGCATTAGAGGTGGTGGCCATGGTGGCCATGTGGTTTCCCTGCTTTCCCACAACCCCAGCATGCCCAAACCCCTGAGACTTTGTGCAAAGCCAACAGCTCTGTCTTAATCAGGCTCACCAGGAGAGGGATGATGTCTTCGGGCACGTATCTGCTTCTCATAGGAGGGACCAGGATCTCTTGCCTGTAAAAAAGTGGAGATGAGACCAGAGGGAGCCATGGCTGGTGCAGAGGTTTTCACCAGGGAAGGCTTTTTTTCCCAGTAAGAGGGTTAGGGATGCTCCTATCAACTAAGCACTGAGTTGAAGAGAAACCAAAGGGAGCACTCACATCCCAACAAGGCTGATGGCCTCTCAAGGTGCCCATATTTAAGGAGGCCACAGCTCCCTAGGGAAAGATAACCTCCTGGAGATCCACCCAAACCCCACTATGACCCCGTGTCACTAATTCTGCCCTTTCCAGCCCTGCAGCCACCGGCTGTCAGAGTTGGGCGTGCTCAAACAAAGGGAGGACTTGCCTTCCCTGCTCGCCGCACACCTCCCCTCCCTTCCCCAGCCCGTCAAAGGGCTGACCTGAGACCAACACTGACCCTTCTCCACCTCGCCCGCGGTGGGCTCTGACCCTCGGTCCTGCATCCTTGCAGGGCAGCTGGATTACATCCCGCAGTGCAGCGGCCACGGGAACTTCAGCCTGGAGTCGTGCAGCTGCGTGTGCATGGAGGGCTGGGCGGGCAGCAACTGCTCCGAGCCGCTGTGCCCGCGGGGCTGCTCCAGCCGCGGCGTGTGCCTGGAGGGCCAGTGCATCTGCGACAACGACTACGGGGGCGAGGACTGCTCCCAGCTCCGCTGCCCCGCCGGCTGCGGCTCCCGCGGGCTCTGCGTGGACGGAGAGTGTGTCTGTGAGGAGGGTTTCACCGGCGAGGACTGCTCGCAGCTGCGGTGCCCCCGCGACTGCTCGGGGCGGGGGTACTGCGTGAACGGCACGTGTGTGTGCCAGGAGGGCTTCGCCGGCGAGGACTGCGGGTGGCTGCACTGCCCCAACGCCTGCAGCGGCCGCGGGCTCTGCAGGGACGGGCTCTGCGTCTGCGAGGAAGGCTACGAAGGGCAGGACTGCTCAGCAGGTAGTGGGGGCATGCATGGGGAGAGCCAGGCATGAGTGTATAAGCGAGGTGCCCGGAGCCCCACAGGAGCACCACGGAGTCTGGGAGAAACCCATACCCGTCAGAGCACATCACGTAGGACACACTTAAGCCCTCCCTGTTGTCTCTGTCTGCAAAGACCCGACAGTTAGATGTTTGGGAGGCAAGCAAAAAGCCAGCGAGGTTCATTCCAACATGGGGACTAAACCCCTGGTGCAACTGCGGCTGCAGTCAGGTTCTCCTGAGCCTTTGCCTTGCTACAGCTGTTCATACACCCACAGAGAGCACGTAAACCCCAGCCCAGAGCCCGTGTCCCACCAGCACATCCACGCACCCTCCCACACAGCCCCGTGGGAGGATAAGCCACGCACGCCCTGACACTCTCCTCTCCCTCTGCCCTCCCCTCCAGTGGCTCCTCCCGAGAACCTGCGAGTGACAGGGATCAGCGACAGCTCCGTGGAGCTGGCGTGGGACAGCGCCGGGGCAGCCACCGAGTACGTGGTGTCGTACCAGCCGGCGGTGCCGGGGGGCTCCCAGCTCCAGCAGCGGGTGCCCGGGGACTGGAGCAGCATCACCATCACGGATCTGGAGCCCGGCGTTGCCTACAATGTCAGCATCTACGCAGTCATCAGCGATGTCTTGAGCGTCCCTGTTACCTCCAGGGTGATGACCAGTAAGTATCCTACTGCACTTGTCGCTTAGGGGACGCTCAAGCTGGCTCCGTAAAAATCTTCTAGCAGCAGCAACTTGATTCTTAAAAAACAAACCAACCAACCAACCAAACAAAACACCACAAACAAACAAAAATCCAAACCAAAACTGGTGATATTTTTGTCCCCATTTATAGCTGTACGGGGTTACAGGAAAGGGGGAAATGTGTCCACCATCTTCAGAAAGAGTCTGGGTGAAAACCTGAATATCTAAGAAGAAAAAAAAAACAATTTCAGTGATTGATTGAAGCCCCCAGAATATGGCCCAAAACATTACAGTTTTTTGCTGATAGAAAATACTGAGGTATCTCACAGAAGTCACAGGTTCTCCTCCCACTCCTATATGGGTTCCCCATGAAGAATTCCCATGACAGGGGCGATAGTGCAGCAAGAGGGGATCCTGCTGTGCATCAGGAGTTACATAGTCCTGACCAGGACCACGATGCACAGAGGAAAACACCAGTATCAAGCTGTAATGGCAACCTCCAGGAAGGATCCTAGGAAATGAACTAAGGATACAGAGGGCAGGGGGAAAACAAAAGCTATCCAGACACCCTTTTGCAACCCCTTCATGCACTCTGCTCACATGATAGTGCAGTGGGATGCTTCAGCGTCCAGCAGCCCAGGCACTGCCCTCTTTTCCATCCAACCCACCTGGAGGGGGGCAAAGGAACTTTGCTAACAGCTACCAAAAGGCTCCCCATTTTTGTTGCCCTGATAACAAAATACCCACAGGGAGCAGGGTGGGAACTGGCAGCACCCACACACCCATCCCACTCTGCTCACCACCCCTACCCCTGCTCCCTTCCAGACCTCGCCACGCCGCAGGGGCTGAAGTTCAAGACCATCACAGAGACGACAGCAGAGGTGCAGTGGGAGCCCTTCTCCTTCCCCTTCGACGGCTGGGAGATCAGCTTCATTCCCAAGGTACCGCTGCTGCAATCACGGCATCACGGGGTACACTTAAAGCACTGAGTGAGCGGATCCCAAATCCGCGTCCAATTTACCCCCTTCCCAAAATACCCAGCCTGTGTTTGCCGTTTGTGGTGCTGCAGATCAGACACCCCAAACACTGCCAGCCTGCACTTCCTCAGTACTTTTGACATACGTGTCCTCAAAGAAATTCCCCCTCCCCCCCCAAAAACAAAATCCAGAGACAATTTATAAAGAAATAAACCTTCCAGCTTCTTGCTGTCACCCCCTCTTTTTCCCTTCGATCTCCTTTGCTGTGACCCTTCCTCCTCCTCCTCTCCCTCTCCCCTGCTCTCTATGCTGATCTCCCCAGAGCAGCCCGGATCAAACCGAGCAGCTGCCCGCTCCCAGACAACAACCTTCAGCATCCCCCAGTCACACGCACAGCTAATTCCTGCCACGGAATTTTAATCACAGTGATGAACAGGTAGAAACGGTGCCAGAAAAGATGAAAGGATAGAAAATGTTGCCCTAAATATCGCGCGTTTTCTGCACGCGGCGACAAAAATTGTACATCGAGTGTTTTCATCTATATTCATAATTTCTACACCATTTAGCCATAAGTATAGCTTCAATTGTATATGGAGCCTCTTCTCAAGAGCATTCAAGCCCCAGCAGTAAAAGAAATGCTGATTAAGGGCTCAATTATGACGTTTTCACTTGTACAAAACCCTCGCTGGAATCAAAGGCAGCTCTGGGCAGCGGAGAACTGCAGAACTTGGCCCTGAAGTTTTAAATGCTCTTAACTATAAAGTATCATTACACAGCACAAAGCAGGGGCCCAATTGCTTTAAATAACTCAATTCCCTCATTTCCAAAGAGGCTGGAAGGTTCTTGGTGCAATGTTGGCTACGACCAAATTGTGTCACAAGTTGAAGTTCAGGTAGTGCAGGTATAAACCCTGGGATAATTTTCATTCACCATCAGGATAAAAGCTGAAAACTAAGGCAACATCGAGGAAGAGCTTTTGGTGGGGAAAAATAGCTCTCTTTCAAACATTTCACTGGTACTGGGAATTAAGCTCAACAGCATCTCCCTGAAGCAGATAAATGAGGATATATCCTTTTTAGGGTGAGGAATCACTGGGATAGAAGCAAACCTCTCCCCACAGAGTCACCAACAATAGGTTTTTCCTCAAGCTCACCCAAAAATGCAAATCACTGGTCTTCCTTTCCGTTTCTAAAACTTAAAAACACATGGAAATCTTTTGGGATTTAAAGGCAGATAAGTCTGGTTGTTCCCAGATGCAGGGTTTTGGGTAGAGAAGGGGCATAACTCACTGGGCTTTGAAGTTCTCACATGCATTGGCCAAGCACAAGGTCCTGCACCAGAAAGTCACAGTCATGCTCTTGCCTGTCAGCTGCCAAAATTGGACTCTCCATCACCAGCTTTTCCCCTAAAATAAGGCAGAGGGTGCTGTGTCCTTCACTGCCTGCAAACAACACTTGCTTGGGCACACGCTAAACCACTGCCACACCCAAATAAACCCAAAACCTAGTCCCAGAGGCTAAAAACAATGGAGTTATAACAGCAGTGTCACGAATAACCTCTGTGAGAAAAACTGAGCTCCCTGTCTTCCCAAAAACTCAGTGAGAGGATGCTAATTTGGTCCTCAGCATCCCCACAAGGATGCTTGCGCCTTCCTGCAGAGCAATTCTCCTTCTGTGGAGAATTTTCCAGTGCTCTTACCCCCCAGCCCCTCAAAATCCAGGTCGTGTGGGTATTGCCCATGTGCTGCCCCCACTGAGGATGGGATGGGAGAAAAAGGAAGCAAAGACAGATTTAGCAAAGAAAATTAGGAAAGGTAAGATGGCAATTGATGGCTAAAATGGAAGATTTCCTGTTTAATGAGAAAAGAGATGAATATGAATGGAGAGCTATGTGCAAAGATTTGTTTAGTGTGTTATTAGTGAAGACAGCAGCAAGAAAAGATCCTTTGTCCAAACACTGGCAGGAAAGGTGACATTTGCAGTTGTTTAAAGCCTTACAGCTTTTCAGGGCAAAACTGCAAGGCGTAATGAGCGTAATAAAGATGGTTAAAAAGCAGGGGATGGCAAAATAAAGACCTCACAGTTTCATACCTGTACATCAACTACAGAAAGCTCCTGGCACCTGAAGAGCAGGGAAAAGTAGTGTAGCCAAGGCTTTGTTTTTATCGTCTTTTCCCTTCTGGAGAACAGCAGAGACACAGATGGCAACATACAGAAGCTGAGGGGGGAAGGGAGGGGGAAGGATTTTGGAGCCCAGCAACATGGGTGCTCCACGCTTGGTGGGTGACTTCTCCCTGGGTTTCTGCACCTCCACGGGGGGATGTGACCTGGGAATGCAGGGCTGGCCATGGAAGGATTCGACGTGGAGTGGGGGGCACCTCCTCTCCATGCATCAGTCCCCCCAAAACAAACCAGTTTTGTGGGGCTTTTTTTAATGCTTATTTCCACTCCCTGGCAGAATAACGAGGGTGGTGTGATCGCTCAGCTCCCCAGCACTGTCACCACCTTCAACCAGACGGGGCTGAAGCCGGGGGAGGAGTACACTGTCACCGTGGTGGCCCTGAAGGAACAAGCCAGGAGCCCTCCCACCTCCGACAGCGTCTCAACCCGTGAGTGAGCCTGACCTGGGGGAGCACGACAGAGCCCAGGGCTTGGTCCCAAAAATAAGATCCTATCAGCAAGAGCAGCCTGGCACTGCATGGGCAAGGATAAAAGTAGCAGCACCCCAGTGCCCAAGCACTGCAGCAACAGCTTCTTCGTGCAGTATTTTGTCCCTCTCCCTCCTGAGTTGCCACAAGCACAGAAACCGTGGCGAGGTTAATGGGGTTGGGAGTAAAGACTCGGGTCTGCTTCTATTATATAGCTGGATAAATTCTTCTCCTCTGCTAATCTCACATTTCAGAGGCTGCAAGCCCTCAAGAAGTATCTCTGTAAATGTATTACTTACTCATATATAACAGATTAAAACTCCCACCTGCTTTTGTTCCACTAAATGCCCTCTGCTCCCACCTATTCAGGCAAATCAGGCAGCAGGGCCGGGACCCAGGAGCAACAGCGTGTCCCTTCCAAACCAATTTATTTGCCCAGTCACTGGTCCATCCTGTAGACCAGAGAAAACTGTGTCTCCTCCTTGCCGAGGGAGGCGCAGCAACGGGCAGAGCTCACTGGGAGAAGAGGCTCTCCACGCCAGACCTGCTGCAGTCTGCCTTGGCAGCCAGGCAGACATCTCCTACCTCCACCCAAGCTGTTCCAAACGGAAACAGCCCTTCAATAGCTGCCAGAGGGCTGTAACAAGGTGATGCTCTTCAGGCTGCTAATTTGAGGCGGTGGTGAGAGTGAAGGGAGGGTCCCTCCACCAGCAGCAGTTTGCTGCAGGTCTGAGCTTCCCCGGCTCAATCCTCTCTTCCCACTCAGCTCGACGTGGCTTAACAGAGACATCTCCTGGTCAAGCCCAAATCTTCCTTTCCCTGTGAAGTCAGCACAAAATACCGAGGCTGGTACTTCAAACTGGGGGGTTGACCTTTGCAGGGAGCACAGATGGAGCGGTGGCTCCCAGCTCTCTGCTCCCTGAAGGCATCCCTGTGCTGGCATGTCTGCCTTCCTCTGCAGCACCCCCACAGCATAATCCTCATCATCCTTGTTCTGCCTCAACACCTTGGGCTGGGATCAAGCATGTTTTTATGCCACACAGCTAAGCAGATGTGGATCACCTGGATGACTGGACAACATGAAGTAGTTGGAGATTCAGGGTTTGGATAAGCATGACCTGGTCCTGCCCAAGCTGGACACCCAGCTCCTACCTAAACAGTGCTTCCCAGCTGCCCTCCCTCCTCCGTTGCTGTTTTGCCCCCAGGCCTCACCCCACTGCTCCAAATTCCTCCCACGTGTCTTTTTCTAACCCTCCCTGGTCCTTCCCACTCCTGCCCATGAACTTCTGACCCTGGCATGCAGCATTCAGCACACCCTTATTACATAGCCATTTGCTTACATATGCACTATACTAGATGTATATATATCTACAGTCTAGTCTGAATTACAGAACCACAGTGGGCTTTCTCACCCACCTTGTGATCATGTAAGTGATGAAACAGGCTGCCCAGCAGGCATCAGCACTGCCATGGCACAGGAGCAGTGGCCAGGCTGGCCCTATCCATCCATCCATGCATCCATGCATGCAGTGTTTAAGTCCTGCTGGGCTCCAAGCATCCATCAGCCAGGCTTGAGTCTGTGATGTTCAAAGGTTGAGTGCTGGGGGCTCTGGAGGAGGGAAGGGCCCAATTCTCTGCAAAAGAAAGCAGAAACGTCCAAAAGGGTCTCCCAGTAGATCCCTGGTATGAATGTACCTAAAAACCTTTTATCTGAGGGGGTTTGTTGGACACCCACCATAGCCCACACCCAGCTAGTTATGAAGACTCACCAGAGCAGTTGCATTTTCTCCTCTCTCCCTGCAGCCAAGACATCAACAGCTTTACAAGCTGATCCCTCAGCTTAAGGACAAACCAGGAGCTGGCACCGAAGCAGGAACATTTCTAGAGACGTTCCTCAGTTCTAAGCGCTTGGATCTGTCCTTGGCCCCACGTTATTTAACACATTGTCAACACCTTTCAAAAGACATAATATCGTTGCTGATAAATTTTACCAATGATGGAAAGGCCCAGAAAAGAGTAAATTGAGTGGAAAATCCTCGATAAAAGTAGTCTGGATGCTTTGGAGATCTGGGCACAAAGTAAAGTTACACATTTTTCAATACAAAAGTACAGGCAGTTATCTAGGAGGAAAAAAAAGTGGACCACAGTTAGATATAGGAGGTTTTATCCTGGGAAACACCACCTGGAAAAGCCAGGGGGGGATTGTTGCCGATAACCAGCTTGAGAGAAGGGACTGTGTTGCATTATAGCTGTAATGCTATCAGTGAGAGAGCTGCTGGGTCCACAGAGAGTGAAGCGGGTTCAGGAAAGAGCCAGGACATTGGGATAAGGGACTGGGAACCCACAAGGACCAAAACCCCTGTCTCGGGGTCGGGGCCTTGCTCATGTCACCTCTCTCCTTGTCCCCAGATGCTAATCCCAGCCACTCTGAAGGCCAGGCTGAAGCACCCCAGAAGCTTGGCATCCCCAGAGCTTCCCCCTTTCCCCACCCAACTCTCCCAAAGTAACAGGTGCCCGTTTCCCCCCCCTGCTCCTCCACAGTCATCGACGGCCCGACGCAGATCCTGGTGCGGGACGTCTCGGACACCGTGGCCTTCGTGGAGTGGACGCCGCCGCGCGCCAAGGTGGACGCCATCCTGCTGAAGTACGGGCTGGCGGACGGGGAGGGCGGCAGGACCACCTTCCGCCTGCAGCCCCCCCTCAGCCAGTACTCCCTGCAGGCCCTGCGCCCCGGCGCCCGCTACCACCTCGCCGTCAGCGCCCTGCGGGGCGCCAACGAGAGCCGGCCAGCCCTCGCCCAGTTCACCACAGGTAGCTAGACTGGCTTTGCTGGGAGAACTGGCGTGAGCTTTCAGGCCTGCGGCAGGCGCGGGCAGACGGCTTGCTGCGATCCGCAGACGGGCTGTCCTGCAGCGAGGACGTATCCGGAGACGAAGGGAGGGGATTTTTGCGTCTGGGATTTAGTGGCACCTGGTTCTCCCCCGGCACAAGTGAGCTGGGGTTTGGTGTGGCGTGCTAGGGGGAAGAAGTGGAATGAAAGCACGATGGTGAAGATGCAGGTGTGAGTGGAGATGCCTGAATGCAGGTGCCTCGCGTCCCTCATAGAGCAAGGCAGAACAAATGATTCAGCTCCCCCTCAAATACACACCTAAAACCATCCTCTGATCCTTTTACTCCTGCCTATCTTCCTGTTTAGTCCCTAAACCTCCAGTGCAACAGGTCTTCATGCCCTGTGACCCCAGGGATGCTCACATGGCCCCCAGGGCAGTCCAGGTGATCCCAGATGCCGATGACCAGGCACGGATGACTCAAAAATCCTGCATTTAGATGACAGACCCTGAGCCAACTCCACCTTGGCTGTGTCCTGCTGCAGCATCAAGTCTGAACCTGCCTGGGACACACATCCCCACCAGCTTCAGTGCCCATTTAGACACATAGCTGAGCAAAAACTCTAAAAGCCCAGCATCCCTAAGAGCACCCAGAGCTCCATGCAAAGTTCTCAAAAGAACCACAACATTCAGCACAGGTCTGAATTCAGGGCAATGCTCACTCCCATTCAGCACTGAGAGCCTGCCTGAGGAATCAGCAGGCAAGCAGCTGAAAGCAGCCCAGCCAGAAACATGGTTATCTCATTTTATATCTTCTCTAAACACCCTAACTGGTCAGTAAAACTTTAATTAATGTTAAGCCTGCAGACAGCTAATGGGTTTAATTTACCGTGCCATAAAGAAGGAGGCAGAGTGTGTATTTCCATGCTGGTTTATGGTATATAAATTACTTGTCATGTACGTTCCTGGTGGATACGAGGCTCCTACTGTAACAGCCGTGGTGTGTGAATTGTGTGCGTAAATATCTCTATAGATAAATATTTCAGAAGAGATGTTCACCCTGACTGATTTGCTGCGTTGGCCTTCCTTGCTTTATTTCTAAAAGGCAACACAAAAAATCACCCCCCAAACATCAGATCCATCACCATTACCCACCATCTGCTGGTGCCCAGCCCCAACGCCATCGCTAACCAGAGGGTTCATTGTGCAAACCAGAGCAGATCTGGTGCACAGCCTCGGCAGCACTAATAAACAAACACTTTGGGCAACGTCTGAGTGTGAATGAGCCTGTAAACATGCTCAAGGTTCTCCTAGGAGCAGTTCAGGCCAGTGCATGGCTGCCACAGAGCCCTCACACTGCCTCAGTTTCCCTCCCTCTGCTATGGGCAGAAAACAGTTTTCTTTTCCAAATAACACGGAATTAGCTCCCAAAGCAACTTACTAAGGATGCTGTGAGTGCCCCCAGCACTCGCTCCGCTCGCCTGGGCAGCATCTCCCGGTCCGTGCTGAGCAGCAGGTGAGAGCAGGTATCGCAGCCCTTTCTGTGCCTCCCTGGGAAGGAGGGACCGCCCGTGGGCCCCTCCCAGGCATCACACCCGGGTCTCGCTCCCCCCTCCGCCCGTGCCGAGGCTCGGGGGTGCGTTCGGGGCGGTGAGACGGTGCCTCTCTCCCTTGTGTCGCGCAGAGATCGATGCCCCCAAGAACCTGCGGGTGGGCTCGCGGACCCCCGCCAGCCTCGAGCTCGCCTGGGACAACAGCGAGGCCGAGGCCAGCAGCTACAGGGTGGTCTACAGCACCCTGGCCGGGGAGCACTACCACGAGGTCCTGGTGCCGCGAGACACCGGCCCCACCACCCGCGCCACCCTCGCAGGTACGAGCGCGCCCTTCCTCCCCCTCCTCCTCCTCTCAAGCAGGTAGGGCAGTGGAGAGCCTAAACCAGCACTGATATACTCCGTTGCCCTTATGCTGAGGTTGTTTGGGAGTTTACTGCTTACTGGAGAGAGGGTTTTCCTTGGGATGTAGCTCGTTTTCCCCTGCGTGGGTCTGGATTTGGGTGCTGCTTATCCACAAGTGATGCACCTGCAAGTAACGCGCCTCCAGATCAGGCACCTCCGAGTCATGCACCTCCAGCAAGGATCTTCCCGGGTGCCAAATAGAGCTGGCAAGGAGCAAAGTGAGAAGTGGGGATGAGAAGCCTTTTCAGGCTGGTCTAGAGGGAAATATTATTTCACCCTTCTCCTTTTTAACTTGTTGGGAAAGAGACGCAGGTGATGATGCCCCGTGGGCAGTGATGGGGGAGCCAGGCTGCCCGAGTTTGTTGCCTTTTTCCAAATCAGGCACAAAGCAGACCCAAATCTAGGGCTGCTATTTTTGAGCAGGTCCTTTAAGTGGTACACAATTCAGGCCAGCACAGGAGGTGCCACCAGGGGCTGCAAACACCACCCACCTCTTGCTGCCAGGAAAGCCCCAAACACCTCGTGCAGCAACACAGCAAAGCACCGTGTGAGATCTGGTTTCCCATTTTTTTTTTTTTTTCCTACCAGAACTGCTTGCCTGATGGATTTGCCACTCTGGTGGCACTTTTTGAGCAAAGACAAGACTTACTTACATAAAAAAAAGTTCACTCATTCAGCTTGAAGCTCTTCAGTATGGCAGGACATCAGGTTCCTCCATGTTGACTCTCTGCCCTCCCAAGACCTCCAAGGGCTCAGGAATCTGCCACGTGGAGCTGTAGGAGTAAGTGCAGGAGGAAAGTCGAATGTTAAGCTGCAGGCACAGCAGCAGAGGCACGAGAAAGGCTGGGGGGCAGGAAGGCAATTAGAGCAGATAGCTTTAAAAATGTGGTGTGCAGAAAGAAGAAAAATGTTAGGGATAGTTTGTGCTGTGTTCCTGATGAGGACACGCATGGAGAAGTGGGATGAGATTGGAGACTGGCTGCTGGGCTCCTGCTAGCTTTCCTCTAGGATATTTATTGGCTTTCCAGGTGAGAAGAAGCATTAAAAATGGGCCAGACGCCCTCCCTGGGGCAGAGGTGTGACATGGCACCAGTGACACAAACTGTGACGACACCCATGGCAGAACCTGAGCTTGCCTGGGAGGATGTGGCAGTCTGAAGGCCCCTGTTTTCTCAGTAAAATTAAAAAAGGTGCCAAGTCTCTGCCAGACTCGGGCAGGGCTGTAAGAAACCCTGCCAGAGCAAGCTGCAGAGACGCAGAGGCTTAAAGTCGATAGCAGTGAGTGATTTTTACATAGTGCCTCCATCATCACCTAAGTGCATTGCTTCCAGCTCCCAGGGTAATAAACAAACCAATTAAAAAAAAATCCAATCATAGCATAAAATAATTAAAAAAAAAATTATTGTGCTGGCAAAAAAAAAAAAAAAAGCCAGGAGAGCAGTAGTGTGGATGGCACTGAGCCTCTCCCATAGCTCTGTTATGCTATGGACAATTCTGTCCTCCAGTCTTGTATGGGGTGCAAAACACATTGGGGTGTGTTTCCAGCCACCCTGATGGGATCCACAGCAGGGAAACAACCAGTAATTCTGTCAGCCACCTTCATCTGCCTGCAGAAGAAGCAGTGAGGAATGGCACTGAGCAGAGTTTGTCAAAGATTTAAGCTTACAAATACAGCAAGCCTTGCCCTGCCCCATAGTCTCTCTTAAAATCAGCGTTTGCACAGAGGTATCCATAATGTTGCACTACCCAAAAGAGATGGCAGAGAAAAAGGATTGGTTTATATGCTCCTGCTCATTTCTTCCTTCTCCTCCCCTTTTCTCCCAGGCTCTTCTCCTCTTTTCCAGGATACTTCTGACACTTACTGGGGAGGGCCTATAAATGATGTGGGTCCATCTTCCCCCCCATCACCGAGACTCCCCTGTAGCAAGAAAAGAGCAGGGGATGAGGGCTTCCCTCTCTCCTGACCTCTTGAGGAAGGTTTTGGTGGCTTCAGGGGATGCTGCCCCTGGGCAAGGCAGGATGAGGCTGGGCTGGAGGGTTTTTCTAGCTCTGTGGGAAAGATCAGGAAGCACAGGGAGGAGTGGAATAGAGCCACCAGCAGCCAAGCAGAAGTGACAGGCAGAGGCAGGAGATGTCCCACACGGTTATCACAGCGATCAGGAAAGGAGCTGGATGAACTCAAGTCCCATGTCCCTTAAGAGAGGCACTGCAGGATCCATCCACCCCAAGGAGCAGGGCTTGATTCAGCTCCCAGGAAGACTGCACCTTTCCTAATTAATGTGCATTTCATTTACTGTGCATAATTTATTTCTTTTCAAGACACCAGCCCTGTGACGATATTCGATGTTGCAGCATTTTGGAAACAAATATAGCTACTTTGTCATTCCCATCTCAGCTTGCACACACAGAGCTTCTGTCTTGCTGCCAGCAATTACAGCAGACCTCAGCAACGACTTTTAAAAATGTCTTGTTTCTGAGCTAAAATAATCCAAATTCCCTGTCCAAAGGCATCCATGGGGCTTTTAAAGCAGGCTCAGCGCTTCTGCAATGCACGGAGGAACCACCGACCTGAGGGAGGGCTGCTCACCCCAGGGGTGCCCTGGATGTCCCCAGCTGTGGGAGCTGGGGGGTTGCACCCTGGGGTCACCCTGCCAGGTGCTGTTCTCACACCCCTTCGTGTCTTTTGCGCTCCCTGGCAGATCTGGTGCCGGGAACAGAGTACGGCATCGGGATTTCGGCCGTGATGGACAGCCAGCAGAGCGTGCCAGCCACCATGAACGCCAGGACTGGTGAGTTTGGCCCCACTGCCTTCTCCACGCACAGCCGGCTCCTGTGGCTCACATGTCCCCGTGGGACAGTCTGTGCATGGGGACAAAGCTCTGCACCAACCCTCTCCCACAGAGCTTGACAGCCCCCGGGACCTCGTGGTGACAGCCTCCACAGAGACGTCCATCTCGCTGGCCTGGACCAAAGCCACGGGTCCCATCGACCACTACCGCGTCACCTTCACCCCTGCCTCAGGGATGGCCTCGGAGGTGACGGTGTCCCGGGACGAGTCACAGCTCACCCTCTCAGAGCTGGAGCCCGGGACGGAGTACACCATCTCCATCATCGCCGAGAGGGGACGGCAGCAGAGCCTGGAGGCCACCGTGGATGCCTTCACAGGTAAAGAAAGACAAGTTGGGATGGGGCCAAGGCCACAGACCACTACCCTGTGTTGTCACCTCTCCCAGCACCAAAACCCTTGGGTAGTGATGGGGATGGGAGCTGGGGTCAGTGTGTCCACATGGAAGCAGATCTGTTGACCTCAAGATGAGGACAGTCCCACCAGTGTGGTGGCACAGTCCCCTTGGCCAGCAGCACTGAGCACACTTGCCTGGCTGGAGGCTCCCGAAAGGACACGGCAGGACTGGGGGAACAGACAGCCCATGCTATCCTCTGTTGTCAGGGTGGTCTCTGTGTGTGTCCAAAAGAAGGAGAAATGAAGCCTTGAGGGACCTCACAAGGTTCTCTCACTGAAAAGTCTGCAGTCATGAAGTGCAGATTACATGTACCATCTGCAGTAGGACAGCTCCATCACCTACCATATGAGTCTGGGATGGAGGGTGCTTGCAGGCAGGGCTGAGGAAAGCACCATTTTCCCCCTCCTGGTTCTGCCTATTGATGCCAGCACAGCTTCAGATCAGTGGAGAGCCCAGAGCTCCAGCTTTGCCACCTCTCTTGGGTATTTCCCGAACAAGCAGTGGGAACAACGTGGAGGCCAGGATCTGCAGACGGTTGGGGTTGCACCTCTCCTCTCCGCATTCCAGGTGTTCGGCCCATCACACAGCTCCACTTCTCCCAGCTGACGTCCTCCAGCGTCAACGTCACGTGGAGCGACCCGTCCCCACCTGCAGACCGCCTCATCCTCACCTACAGCCCTCGGGACGCGGAGGAGGCGCAGCAGGTCACCCTGGAGGGCACCCGCCGGCATGCCAGCCTGACGGGCCTGCAGCCCTCCACCGAGTACCTGGTGTCCCTGGTGGCCGTGCACGGCGCCGTCAGCTCCGAGCCTGTGGTGGGCTCCATCACCACAGGTACCACAGGACATCCCCCACCAGGCACGGGATCCCACCGGGAGGGCGGGCAGGGGGACAGGGAGCGGACCTGCCTCCCACAGCTTTGCTTTGCGCTCCATCTCCCCAGGGATCGATGCGCCCAAGGACCTCAGGGTGGGCAATGTCACCCAGGAGTCCATGATGGTCTACTGGAGCCCTCCCATCGCTGCCTTCGACCACTACAGAATATCCTACCGTGCTGCTGAAGGTAAGGGATCAGAGCACTCTTGTTCCTGCCCTGAGCTCCCAGCTGACAACCCTCCCTCCATCTGCTGGCACAAACAAGCCACCGGGTCATCCGCATCCCAGACAGCATCCCATGCCCTGGTAAAAGCTACCAAAAACTGGGATGGAACAAAAGGCTACAGGGACAGAGGATGGGGTGTCAGGGAAGGGGATGAGAAGGGACAACTGCAGCTAAGGGCCAGCTTGGCACAGAGGGGCACAGGGAGCGACCCCCTGCAGTGTGTAGTTCACAGTGATGGTTAATTCAGGGCTCAATCCTGAAACCCCACCTGCCTCATCTACTTCCACTACCCTCATCTTCCTTGGCCCAAGTTTTGCCTTTGATGCTGAAAGGGCCAAGCCAGCAGAGTGATGAACACTTGCTGGCACGAAACCCAGTTACCTCCAGTACCTCGTGGCACTGCCCTCCCCTCCTGAGCACCTCCTGTACCCCAGGGGTGGGGCCAGCCATGCTGCCAAAGCTCTTGGCTCCATCCCTGCAGGGAGGACAGACAGCACCACCCTCCCCAAGGATGTCACCGAGCACGCCCTGCACCACCTGGAGCCCGCCACCAAGTACGAGATCGGGGTGAAGAGCGTGCGGGGCCGGGAGGAGAGCGAGCTGACCTCCATCACCGCCTACACAGGTGGGAAGGGGCTCCTGGGGGGCAGGGAGCAACCAGACAGGGACAGCTCTAGCCCCAGGCAGGGCTGGCAATCCCTGCTTGCATTAGTAATCAGGTGACTGAGAGCAAGCTGGACCTTGTGCCAGCCTGGTGCATCATCCCTATCGGGATGACAAGCAAGGCTCACGAGGGCCCAGTGTGGGCTTTTGAAATATGTCTCAGCAAAGCTTTTCCAGAATATTCATGGGTAGTCATGGGGGAAAGTGATAAACCTGTGTACCAGGCACAGGGAAGCCAGAAACATGATCTTGGGCAACCATGACAAGCTTTCTAAAGGGAGTGCAGATTTCCAGAAATAATCCCTGGGGAAGTCTTGTCACAAACAGCATCTGCTGCAAGAATAAAACCCTTCGCTATCCACAGACTCCTCAAAATCTAAAGAAAACCCCTAACAGCCCAGGCTGTGCATCAGAAAAACAGAGGAGGAGCAGCCCAGGTAGCAGAGTAGCACAAGCTATGATATCTCTGCACTCCAGCCTAGGCAGCAGTAACTCCTCTGCAGGCCCATGTGCCTGGGCAGTAGGGCAAGACCTCGAGCAATGGGCCACAAGAAGCCCTTGCAGTTCATAGCCCAGTCTCTTAACGCCTCTGACTCTCTGAATGTCTCCCCCACGCAGCCATGGATGTCCCCTTGGGGGTCACAGCCACCAACATCACCCCCACCGAGGCGCTGCTGCAGTGGAACCCGCCGCTGTCGGAGGTGGAGAGCTACGTCCTCATCCTCACCCGCCGGGCAGGTACGCTGGGGCTCTGCTTCAGCTCACCTCCCAAAGCCCAGGGTTTGGCAGGGAGGGAGTAGGGAAGGAGCCCTTCCTCTGGGTTATATAGGGACAGTGGGAAAAATAAGACTGTCCTTCAGACTGAACACCAGCGCTGCAGCTCAGCTGCTGCACTGCAGCCTATGGTGTTTCAGCATTAGAAGTGCCTTTGTTCATGAGGTCATACCCAGAGACACATTTTGGAGAATGACGTGGAACATTTACCTAAACCCATCCCTTTTTTTGGCTTGCAGTTGCAGGAGAAACAATTCTCGTGGATGGAGACAGCCAGGAGTACCAGCTGACCAACCTGCTGCCCAGTACCACGTACATGGTCTCTATGTACGCCACCAGCGGGCCCCTCACCAGCCAGACCATCAGCACCAACTTCACAACTCGTACGTACAATCACCTCCCCACCTCCCACCCTTAGCCAGGCACACACCCCAGGACAAGCAGCCAGGCAGGCTGAGCCAAAGCCCTTCTCACAAACAGTGGGCACAGAAGCAGCCATGTGCCAAAAGGACACCCAAATACTAGTGCTGGGCACAACAAAAGAACAGAATTTTACTCAACAAGCATCTACCATCATTTTCACTTTTTCAACATCCATCAACGCCTTTTTATCTTTGATTTCCCCTGGATGTGGTTTCTTGAGAATACCCTTGACCAGGGTTTTTTCTAGCCCAAGGCCATAGTCCAGAAGAGCTCTACAACCCGTTTTGCTCACAAGCAGCATGACATGAACTTCAGAGCTGTCACCCTTGAGGTGGCACACAGGCAGAGGAGGACTTCTAGAGGCTTTGCAGAGCCCTGTTCTTGGGATTGGTTATGAGGTCTTGAAACTGAGGGCAAGAATGGACTTTGGGCTGTAGCTCAGTGTTGCAAGGTTGAATCCCAGGGTACTGAGTTGGGAAATGGGACTGGGGTGGTTGCGTGTGAGAACTTTCCCCTCCCTGGGGTCCCTTTCCACTCTTGCAGTTTTGGATCCTCCAACAAATCTGACTGCCAGCGAAGTCACCCGACGGAGCGCCCTGCTCTCCTGGGTTCCTCCCGTGGGAGAGATCGAGAACTACATCATGACCTACAGATCTCCTGATGGCAGCCGGAAGGTGAGTGAGTCCTCACAAAGAAACAGCCTCGTTAAGTCAGGGAATAACCAGACTATGGAGAAATGAGCAGGAGAAACCCAACAAAGCAAAACAATGATGCTCACCAATTCAGGGAGACCAGAAGGGCAGGCACTACTTTCTGTGTAAGCAGATACTTTAGATAACTAATTGGAAAAAGCAAGAAGAGATTGCCTAAGGCAAAATGTTTATGCACACCTGCAGGTCTGAGCGTAGAGGGGATACCTGGAAGTTTGGAGGAATGGGGGACATTCACAGCTTGTAAAATACAAGCAAGCTGAGGCAGGAGAAAATTATCCTGCAAACAGAGATGCTAAAAATGCCATTTGCCCTTCCTGTGAAAAGGAAGACAGGCACAGACAGCTAATTAATCCCACAATACAATATATTTGATTAGTTAATGAGTGTGTCCACATCTGCCTGTCTGGAGAACTGCTACAAATGCTATCAGAAATACATCACAGCCACCAGTCTCGCTTCCATTGCTGGTGTGACTGGCTCACAGCAGCCAGGGGACAGTGCAGAAGGGGTTCAATAACATGTTGTACTGGCCGACAACCAGAAAAATTAATGGGACAGGAATCCATGGAGTCAAAACTGGCTGGTAACTGGGTTTGTCCTGCCCTGCTCCTTGTGCTGCTGGGGCCATCGGTCATGCCCCATGCTGAGGGCACGCACATCCCAACAGGGTCGGTAAACAGAGCACACAGACTGCAAACACTTAAATTGCCTGTGTCTAAACCGTCTTGCTTTCTCCCACCCAAACCATCCCAAAATGTTGACTGTGTTCCTTGCCCTCCTTGGCTCAGTCCAGGGGTGTAAGCAGCCATGCAATGCTCCTTGGCCAGGCACCGAGGGCTGCGGTAGTTTGTGGCTTCCCTTCCCTCCTCGCTTGCTCTTTAGGCTCCCCACCGCTTTTCTCACTTGGTGTCTGCCTCCTTCTGGGACCCCTGTACAGGAGCTGATTGTGGATGCCGAGGACACGTGGATCCGCCTGGAGGGGCTGTCGGAGACCACGGAGTACACCGTGCGCCTGCAGGCTGCCCAAAACGCCGTGCGGAGCGGCGTCATCTCCACCACCTTCACCACAGGTGAGGACTCGAGCCACGCCCACTCAGCAAGGGGGGAGTGAGCTCATGTACTGTGCTGGTAGGCATGGACTGCTTTTATGGGCTTTCCCTCCTCAGGTAGCACCCCATCACAATCCCCAGAGCGGTACACACAGTGCCACGCCCCACAGTGCTGCTCTGCTACAAAATGTTAATGGCTGAAGGATCTGTCACACAAACACAAGACCCAACCCATTTACCAGGCCCTTTGCCTTGTCCTTGCCCCTCCTCAAATGCATAGTCAACATCACGGATCCACTGGTATGCTCTTGCAGTGAATAGACCAGGGGTCTCTCCACACTGTAGACATGATCCAATCACTCACAAATATCAAAGGACCATAGAATAGTTTGGGTTGGAAGGGATCTTTAAAGGTCACCTTGTCCAACCCCTCTGGAATAAGCAGGGACATCTTCAACTTGATCAGGTTGCTCAGAGTCCTGTCCAACTTGACCTTGAAAGTTTCCAGGGATGGAGCATCCCTGGAAACACCAAGCAGGTGCATCTCCTCCACCACCACCAGTGGGGTCACAGACAGCAGAGCCAGCACTTTATCTAATTGCATTATTCCTCCCCACTCTGATTCTAGAGAATTCACAATCCACTGAGGCAATGGGAATGGTTTGCTCTCCAAATCAAAGGCACCCACAGCCCTTACACACAGAATACTTAGCCTGGCAAGAATGACACTTACAAAGAAAGTCACCATCGCTCCCACTCTCTGCAACAATTCACTTCAGAAACAGTGCAAAGCAAATGTCCCTCACCCTCTTTGCAAAGTCTGGCTAGGCCAGGGCACTTCACAGACAGAGTGCATTTTGTTCAGGGCTGAATCCAATCCCATTTCTCTGGGGCTTCAAAAGCACTAAGAAGCCTATACATGACATCCACCAAAATTCCTCTGATCTGCACTGCCAGTTCAATTAGGAGAGTTTTCTTTGAATCAGTTGTGGATACACTTCCCCATCTCAGTTACATGCAAAGGTCCTTTCACCTGCTTTTAAGAGAAAATAGCAACTACTTACATCAACAAAAGAAGAAAAGACTCTGCTCTAATGCATCTATTGAACAGGCTTTCCTGTTATTCTTGCCTCTTACATGGGCACATAAGGCCAGTGAAATTCAGGCAGGTGATGGACATATCCATCCAATCTTTGAGGCTGTTTGGGAGTCAGGGATGAAGCTGCAGAGGGGTGACTTCTCAGCTGGGATAAAGCAGCAGAAACCCAGTCCACAGCAGGCAAGGAGAGCACCTTTTCCATCAAACACAAATGTCAGACCTCAGCAGCATTAGAGTCACCATTGCCAGCTGATGCAGCATCCAACACAGGTTTAATTTGCTTTTAAGATGAAGATAAGCATCAGCAAGAAACCAGCTTCTCCCTACTTACCCCAGTATTGATGAGACAGAAGCATCCAGGAACTATCACCAAGGCAGTCCAATCCATGGACACATCCCTGAAGTGAAGCATCAGGATCTGGGATTCAATTTACTCTGGCAATGCATCAGGGCACTTTGCTGAGAACAAGGACTTGTCTTCAGGAAAAAAAACAAAAAAAAAAAAAAAAAAAAGAAGAAACACCCAGGCTTAATTTAAATTGTTTTGCTTCCTTCTGCTTACAGTACACATCCCGGGGTTCTTCTATTCCCTCTGACATATTAATAGCTCGGCCTCTTTTGTTTCATGTTTGCATAAGGTTCTTGGGGAATTGTACACAGATGAGACAAAAGGAAGAAACAGATACAGTATTTATAATTTATAGTGGTTTGAAATGTCTTTCAAGGTCTCCTTGGCTCTTAAAGATATGAATATAAATTAAGAAACAAGCAATCTCCACAGAGCTCAGGGGAGCCCAAACTCGTTGTCTTTGAAGAAGTTTTCATGGTTGGATACTATAAAATGTAAACAGCATCTCACCAGACGCTGCACTACAGACCACGGAGACAGCAAAAAATAGGGGATCTTCAACATTTGGACAAAGCAACGACCTCCGAGTCTTCAGGTCACAAGGAGGGGGGAATACACACCCAAGTGGGAAGTAACCAAGGATTGTATCTTGGTCCTATGGGACACCACACAGTTTTGATGGACACACACAGAGCACTGAAGATTTGAAGGCCCTTCACACCCTGTCACTGCGTGACTGAGACATCCTTGAAAGCCACATCCACATTTCCAGCTCTGCACTTATTTACTCCATCATCCACGTGCAACAACAGCAAAGAAAAAGATGTGTTTCCCTCTTTTGCATCAAATAAGAAGTAGTTGTGCCCAGAGCTGACATTCCAATACTGAGGGGGTCTCATAATTAAGACTGTCCTAAACTCTGGCCCTCAAATGAGATGATTCCTCATTAGAGGACACCTGTAGCGCAGTTACACTGCCCATGCTGCCTGTCTCTAGCATCTCACACAGCCTAATTCCTGCCCAGCTTGCAAGTGAAAATTAGCTGAGTGTAAGTCTACCATCGTTTCCAAGGGCATGGAGAATCAGGAGAATCCCCTTGGAATGAGTAAAGTCATAAAACTTGATTGGAGCTGGCAATCCTGAGAGGAGAACAGGTTTTGGTATTTTCACAGCTGTCTAAATATGCTGGTGACAGCATAAACCCCAGGGTTTCAGACATGGTGCACAAAGATGATCCAAGAAGTGACATCCCTCATCATTCATAGTGATGTTACCATGCACCTCTCCAATATAGGACATATGGGAGATAATTAATTTATGCACACATTTTTTTCCAGTAGGTCCTCTCATGTTGATGGCAGATGTAAAGTCCCACTGCCTCACCAAATTACTTGGGACACAGCAGCCAAGTTCGGCTTTACCTGGATCACAACCAGCAGGGGCTGAGGCATGGGGAAAAGGCATCTCTTGGCTTAAATTTTGCCTTTTTTTCTTTTCCTTTTTAATTTCGCAGGAGGCCGTGTGTTTGCAAACCCCCAGGACTGTGCCCAGCACCTGATGAACGGGGACACCCTGAGCGGCGTCTACACCATCTCCATCAACGGGGACCTGAGCCAGAGGGTGCCGGTGTTCTGCGACATGACCACCGACGGAGGCGGCTGGATTGTGAGTAGCTCTGGGGTTGTCCTGCGTGTTGTCCCCATCACAGAGCAGCCAAGCCTCATCCTACCAGCAGAGCCGAGCCCCACGCTGCGCGGGAACGGCAGCAGGCTCCGTATCGCACGCTTCATTTCCCACGCCACGGGGAATGGCCCACGCTCCGGTAATAATAGTTACACTTGGAGAAATGCCCTTTGATTTATTTGACATGTTTGCAGTGCTTCTGGAGAGCAGAATCTGTGAGTGAAGCTGATTTATTGTTCCAGAAATGAAATTAATGGCCGGTAGCTTTCACGGGGAATGATTCACACTGCCTGCAGTAGGAGGGTGTCAGGCATCACCCCGACTCAGTCTGCACAGGAGCACTTTAGAAACAAATGCCTCTTTGGCTTTTGAATTGCACAAACACTGCTTGTCTTGACGTAGATGGACTGACAGCATAAGTAAATAATGCCATGGTGCTTTGATCTTATTCATGTCAAACACTTACTTACACACATTACACAAAAGCCTGCTCGATGTATAGTCAAAAACAAAAAAAAAATGGGCTTCCTCAAATGCTGATTTCCAGCCAGTACATTTCCCTCCATCTCGCTCCGCTTCAGAGCATCCCCTTGGATATCACAGAAATAGCCAGCTGAGAGCAGAATCCTGTGCTAGAAAACCAGGGGCACCATGTGTTGGGTAGAGCAGAAAGCTCAAAGGCCAGTTCCTTCCTGTTCTCATATTGATTTGCCTCAGACATTATCTAACACCTCTTTGGTTTCTCCATCTGCACATGAATTAATTGCATGGCTGCAATTAACACTAAGTGGATGAGCATTGCAATTTTCTCCCCTGAAAGGCACAATGGAATGACAAAGTGTTGTCTTCATTTTGTGTGTCCGAAGCCCGACAGAGACATTCCTCATCTCTGATGAATCACACTGATTTTGCCCCTGGTCTTCCTCCACCTCAGGTCTTCCAGCGGCGGCAGAACGGGCTGACCGATTTCTTCCGGAAATGGGCAGATTACCGGGTTGGCTTCGGAAACTTGGAGGACGAGTTCTGGCTGGGTATGACCTTCACTGGTTGTCTTTCATCGAGGTGTCAGACCCAAGTTCCCTGTGCTGCTCACCCGTGCCAGCTGTTGGCTCCTTGCCTTTCACCACATTCCTCTACACCCTCCCTCAGACAATTTTCCTTCTGTTCATTCCCTGCCCTTCACATTAGAAGACACCCAGGGACACGTCACATAAAAGCACATGGTAAAGGTCAGCAGCTCCCTAACTTGCTCATCCTAGAAGAGGAGAGGGGTACGCTGGGACTCTTCATGGACCAAACCCCATCATCCCATGACTACAGATTGCCTTGGATGACATCTACAGCTCATGGCCTCGGCCAGCAAGCCAGTTTTCCAAAGAAAGTAGGAAGGGAGGGAGTGGGAGACCCAGCACAGTTCTGAAATTGAGTTTGCTCTCCCAAAACCTGAACAGGAGCCAAAGCCAGTCCTGCAGCGTAAACACACTCGGGCTTGTACAGGAGCTTAACAGCAACATAAGAAGCAACAGAGTTCCTCAGCTGAAGGTTCCCAGCTCCAGTAGCAGGGAGAAAGCTAAACTTGGGCCTTGAACTCCTGTCTCCTAGGCACAGAGAGGTGAAACTTGCGTGAGGACAGAGAGCTCAGGCCCCAGCAGTGCCAGGAGAGACACAGACTCACCAGAAGCGCTGCTGCTCTTCGATTCCTCTCCTCACTCTCATTTCCCACAGCTGTTTTATTTGCCTAGAGCTTTCCTTGTTTGCTCCCGGAGCGGATCCAGGCACTGGGTCTCACCAGGTGTTTCACTGTTTGCCTCCACAGGCTTGGACAACATCCACAAGATCACGTCCCAGGGGCGCTATGAGCTGCGCATCGACATGAGGGACGGTCAGGAAGCAGCCTACGCCTACTACGACAAGTTCTCCATCGGCGACGCCCGCAGCCTGTACAAGCTGCGAATCGGGGACTACAATGGCACTTCAGGTACAGCCTCGTGGCTGGCAGGGATCTTGGGGAACCCCGAGGGTCTGAGGCTGGGAAGGAAATCCCAACAGCAAAGCTGACTTGTTTGGAGCAGCAAGACACAAACCCATAGTCCTTCCTGCCATCCTGCAGTCCATCGTGTAAACCAGGCTGATACATCCCAATGAGTACACAGGGAATTTTCCATTGGGGATTAGATATTTAATGTCAGAGACACTGCTGTTCAAATAACCAGGTCAGTCATCAGAGGTGTCATCCCACTTGGCAGTAAGGGCAGCTGGCTATTGATGCCACGCTGGAGGGTGTATTTATCGCCTTTCCACAGCTATGGAAAAATCTGAAAGCTTCTGCGTCATTTCCTCACGTAGAGGCCAAACAGTGGCCAGTTTTATAAGGACACTGGCTCACCTGCTTGCTTGGTTGATGCAGGAGAGTTAGGCTTTGCCCACCAAAAAACAGTGGGTGCTGGAGGAAGAGCACGGGGGGGTTTCTTCCCCAAGAAGGGGGAAGGGGGAACAACTGCAGCCCTTTGAGCTGGGATAGACGTGCCCAGCGCAAGCCTCCGTGACAAAACTTCACCACTGTGTACTTAAGCAAGGAACCCCACACCACATCTGAGATGGAGGAATTTTCCTATTCAATACCTAACAGTGGCCACTGGAAGAGAAGCGACAGGAAACTTTCAGGACCACCAAGGAGTGTGTTAAGAACATCTCCTCTAAGGACATCACCCAGTTGTAATAATGACCATATTTCACTTTGGCTTCTCTTTCACCCAAAAGCAGCTCTCTAGTTCCTTAGGCAGGAGGTGAGATGAGATGAGATTGGTGTGTTTGGTGGAATAAGACATCACACACCTTCCCAAAACTTCTTCCCCTTATCCAAAGGGAGAAAAGGTGGCCAAGCATCTTGGTTCAAGACATGAATGCTGGATCTCCTTTGGGAGAAAAAAATCTCCCTTTGGCTACCAGGAGGAAAGAGGCTGAAAGCATCCTAACGTGATATAGCAGAGCCAAGCCTCAGGAAATCACGGATGCTAAAATCTGGAATTGAATTAATTTCTGGAACACTCAAATTCAGATCCAAACCCATATAGCAGTTTATCTGACAAAGACAAGCAGCCTCTGAGATTTGCTATGGTCTGCACTGATCCTAAACAGACAGCAGAGGACCTCAGATGAACCAGTTGTGAGCAATTCCAGTTCATGTTATTCCCAGACTGTCAGCTGCTCGAGCCATTGGTTGGCAGGCTACCACATAACCAGAATATCCTAATTTCCTGGTGAAAAGACCAGATCACTCAGAATCCATCACCTTCAACGGTCTCTCTTTCCACAGGGGACTCCCTCACCTATCACCAGGGCCGCCCCTTCTCCACCAAGGACAGGGACAACGACGTGGCCGTGACCAACTGTGCCATGTCCTACAAAGGGGCCTGGTGGTACAAGAACTGCCACCGCACCAACCTCAACGGCAAGTACGGAGAGTCCCGGCACAGCCAGGTAAGGGCAGGGCTGAAACCCTCTGGTAGATCTTCTAGGGGCACGTGACAGCAAGCCTAGGCTGGGGCTGGGGCTGTGTGGTCACTACACCGGGGTCAGGGGCACTGCTGGGGTGACCCCACACCAGCTGGAGTGAAGGGAGCTGATGCTTTGTGCCTCAGAGTGGCTGCCGTGGTCATCTGCTGTGGCATCTTGTGTTGCCTTCAAAAAATATTCCTACATTAAAAAAACAATCAAGCCACAGCAGCAGGAGAGTTTCTTGCTCCTGCTGCAGCAAGTTCTACCTTCTGGCTTCTCTACAGCAGCCAACCTTATTTCCTTCCTCTCCCGCTCTAGTTTCTTCTTAGGGTCTTTCTTTACCCTCTGCCTTTCTCTCCCTCCTGCCAGGGGATTAACTGGTACCACTGGAAAGGCCACGAGTTCTCCATCCCCTTTGTGGAAATGAAGATGCGACCTTACAACCACCGGAACATCTCTGGGAGGAAGCGACGGTCCCTACAGCTCTGAGCCAGCTGAACCCCCTCCTGCCTCCCACCACCTGACCTTTTCTGTCATTTGTTTGTATTTTATAATATGAAAAGGGAAAAAAAAAAATTACTACTCGTCTGAGATAGCAACCTGCCCCTCACAAATGCTGGAGGGAACCACGGCACAAGGAGAGGCCGTGGGAAAGGGAAGACCTCATTGCTTTGCATCTGTCCCAGAGAAATACCAAATTTCCAGTCTCCCTAACCCAATACTCTGACCCTTAACATGAGAAGAAAGAGAAAGAGACAGATTTTTTTGATATTTTTTTAAAAGACGTAGGAATCCCCAGCAAACCCTGTTAGAACGTTTGTCGTAGGGCTTGTGGCAGGAACCTTTCCCACAGGGACCTTGGTGCAGCCACTTCCACCCCAGTCACGGCCAGGGGGGCCCATCCTCTCCCTGCCTTTTGTCCCCTCCTGGCAGGGAGGTCCCAGGCTTTATGCCATCCTGTAGACACAACCCTTCCAGCAGGCAGAGGCCCATCTCTCCCCTATGGGCAGCCTCTGAACCCACGGAGACCAAGCGAGGATGAGCAAACACAAAGCTCACCCCATCCCCAGTTTTCACAGATCCCACCCAGAGGGGCTTGGCAAATATCTGTAGATGTAGGCAAACTCCAGAGAGTCCCCAGCTCATGTGTTGGTCCCACCACAGCCAAAGTCATCCTTGTGGGCATGGGGTGTAGGGAAACAAGAGCTGCTCCACCAGCCCCAACACGCATTATCCACTCCTCTGAGCTGAATTCATCCTGCTCCAGGTGCACATCAGCCTGGGTTATGCTGAGCTTGAGGCAGAAGAAAGGACTTAAATTAGAAGACTTGGGAGAAAAATCATTCCTTGTGGCCCCAAAGCTGAGGGCCCGTTTCCTCTGCTATTTCTACATTTCTGCCGTGCTCTCTCTCACCGAGGTCATTGGTCCCAAACCAAAGGGTCTCAGAGAAGGAGCAGCAACCAAAAGATACCACACAACCACAGCCCAGCCTGAAGCCAACAGCTGTCACAGCCAGGTGCTCCTGTTCATGGACCTCCACGCACACAGGAATGATGACAACACAGCCAAGGGAAGAGAAGTGCAAGCTGAGGAATTCACATTCCCTTCCTTCTCCTACAGCATCTCTCTTCTACACCATCAGAAGAGGGACACAAATCTCAGTGCCTTGGTATCACCATTTCTCTAACAGGGAATCAACTGTTTCCCCTCCTGGAAGAAAGGCTTAGTCCTTTCAGATTTTGGAGCACTTCAAGGCCCTTGGAAGAATTGATGAGTTCGCTCTTCCCATCCTTCTCCTATCTCAAGGAAGGTGGACCCTTCGGATAGCTCTGGCTGTGCTCAGTTGTCACTGACACCACCTCCACAGAGCCCAAATGGCCACCACGCTCAAGTCACCCCTCTGCCGAGGGCTCTGATCAATGCTGGGCATTGTCACTGGCCTGGTCTGGGAGAGGGGACGCGTCCCCACGTCCAAGGACAATGCAGCTGATTGCTGGGTTGGCAGCCAGGGCAGCATTACAAATGCTGAACACTGCGTTTTCTTTTTATCACACTGAAGCTGCTTTGTCTCAAGAACATCTTCCAGATGGCAACATAAAGGCATCTTTGCAGTAGCTTATAAATTCAGGCCAGTGTCTCTTTCACGGCCACGCTCCTGGATGTTCTGACGTTACTCACCACGGCTGCAGAGCTGAAGAGGGGCATTAAGTGGGGAGTGCAGCCTCCTTGGCCGTGCCACGTCCTGGCACATGGAGTCACAGCTAACCCCAAGGTCAGGACTAGATACAGGGCCCAGCCCTTCACATGGCCAGCTTACAAACTGCAGCCTGACCTGCAGAGAGGATGCTGCAGCTCAGCAACATCTCATATGTAAATGAGGCATCTCTTCTTACTTCCCATCAGCATCAAATCAGACAAGAAGTGAAGCAGTTGATGAACAGGTCAGTCAGAGGCTGCAGATGATGGGATCTCTCGCAGGACATGGCCAGTGTCACAGATGGCAGCATGTCACACATCCTGAGCACCCAGCCCTATTTTAAAGTCCCAAGAACCAACAAAAAGCAGCAGATGGAACAGATTAAAAACTAAGAAGCCTCTTAGTAGACCGGCAGAGCAATTTTTCCCAACACCATCAAGAATTTATAGGCAAGAAGTGTCCTAAGAAAGGCTGTATGGTGCAGTGGTTACAACTAGGAGCAGAGATTGGCATTCACCACCTGGTCTGGATGATGCTGTTTACTTACCTACCCAGGTGGAAGGAAAAGACATGAGTGGAAACATTTGCGGCTCATCATTCATAACCAAGCTGAAGGCAAGAAACCTCTCTTCTCAAAAGTATGACTCAAACAGAAAATCAAAGCACAGCAAGCTTTTCCAGGAGGTTCAAAAGGACATCCTCAAAAAGGCTGATTATTCTCTACACAGGTTTACTGACATATATCTCTCCCTCCTTCCTTGTGTCTGTCATCCCTTTTACAAGTCCTGTAACCAGGATGAGTTGGCCCAGTTGACCCAGCTCCACAGCTGAGTATGAAGGACGCTCTTGGGGACAATATCCAACCTTCCAATGCCATTATATGTAAGTGCTGGTCCCTGACCTCACACATGATTCCAGGGTGTTGTCTTTCCATTATCTTGGTGAAACACAGAAAATCTTTTAAAGGAAAGACTTCTACAGGTCATGGTTTTCTTCTGGTGATAACCCCACCCAAGGCCAGGCACACAATCAGCAACAACAACCCGGTCATTTGGGCCATTGTCCCTTGTTCACATTGTCCACAAACAAGATACAATTTTCCAGAAATTAATTTTTCTGCACTACCTAATGAATATTTTTTTTTTCCTTTTGGACAAAGCTCTGACAGCAATTTCAAGCAGATTTGTGCTTAGTGTTGATGTTGCAGAAGGGCAGGTGATTAACTACAGTTTCTCCTCACTCTCCATCACTCTTTCTCTGAATTTGTTCTCCAACCAGACAAGTCTGGCCCTGAAATTCCCAGAAACCAAGCCTGGATCCTGTGCAGTGCTCATCTTGAGAGACCTCGGCTCCAGCACGTGAACCATCAGCGGGCTCTGGTGGCTCTGCTGTTCCATCCTGGGCTCGGGTGGCCCAGGCTTGTCCCAGAGCCCAGAAAGGAACCCGAAGCTGTCACCCAAACCACTCAATCCACTGCGAGATGCCACCTCACACAACAGGGGGCAGGAAGAAGCACATCAGGTCCTGCACACAGCAGAACACCACGTGCATCCAGGACCCTCTCAGCTCTTATTTCTAACCCCAAAATCCTGGAAGGAAACACCAAGGGACTTTCTCATCTCTTGCCCAGTTTTCATTTCCCTCTGTTTCCCTTCTCCAAGCCCACCTTCCCAATGCACACTGCACTAAAACATAACCAAAGAAAAAAAAATAAATGTCCTGAAAGGAAAAGCTGCTTTTAGCAAAGTGATCCTCAAGGCAGCAATTTATAAACTAATAATTTTGAGGAGAGAGGCCATGCTTTCCTCAAGGTTAGGTAGGTTTTGGCAGGAGGATACTGGAAGAACATGTACACAAAGGTTGGGGAGAAGCCTTTGCTTCTACTCCTTATCTCTGCAGTACTTTACCATGGGCATCTCAAAGCATAGTACCAGATTAAATGCACCCTTGCCCCAACCCTCTCCCTCCTTCCCAAAGTGATGCTTACCCCAGGTGAAGTGCCAGGGTGTGGAAAGCACAGCGCATGCCACCTTCATCCCCAGTGGTGTGGCAGGTGAGGGCTCAGCCAGTGATGTCCCCGTGCCCACAACAGACTCAGAGTGACCTGTCAAAATACAGCAGGAGCCAAAACACCTGCCTGGTGCATCACCACAGCAGCACATGCCCTCATCCCAACCCAGAGCTGCCCTCCTGGTGTGTCCCCATCGTTGCACCTCGAGGTGATGACACATCCCCTGCCTGCCCTGTGCCCCCCAGAAACACCCACAAGTTTTGACTTTACCAGACACTGCCAGCAAAGAGCTCTCACCCCAAAAAACCCCCTTTAATTCATGCTTACACCTGCTAACAAAGGGCTCTGTCCTGGGGCCAAGCAAGAAGCCCATCCCTGTTCCTGCAAACCAAGCACCCTGGGATGGCCTTAAAACCAGCTGAACCCTCTGGGAACCACCAGCACCCTCCAGGGTCACCTTGCCCCTTCCTTATTAAACCCTGATGGTGGTGGCAGCTCCTTGCCCCTTCCAGAGGGGGGGTTTGGGGGAAGGGGAAGAGAAAGGCCCTTCCCTGGGGAGACCCTGATGCCCAGACCCACCTTAATACCCTGCCTGCAGCTCTCAAGATGTCAGTGGCTTCTCAGAAAGAGGGGGACACAAAGACCTAAACAAACAAACAAACAAGCAGCCCCCTGTGTAACCCTGGAAATGCATTTAAGATATTAAAAAAAAATTAAAACCATAAATACGGAGGGAGAACGGAGGCAACGAAATGCCTTGGACAGGTTCTGCTGAACTCAAACACAAACCAATGCAACCAAATGAGGGGGAAGAGGAAAGCAAAGAAATGCAGAAATAAAATAAATAATATAAATAAATAATATATTAAACAACCCTCCCCACCCTGTAATGAGAACGTAGCTCGGAGAATGGGATCGACGCTTGTTAACCATTGTTAACTAGTATTTTTAGTCCTGACCGCTCTTAGGCTATGTATAGTTCCTTTTTTTAATGCATTTTCTATACATTAATAAAAGATACTGAAGGAGTGAGCTGTGTGCCTGTCCAGGAGTGGGGTGGGAACGGGGCCCTGGGACATCCAAGCCCAGCAGCACCACAGCCCTGACCTCATGCCAAGAGAGGACATGCATGTCCTGTCCCTAATCCTCGGTTATCCCATGGCAGAAGGAGTGTGGGGGGGCTTGTTAGCACAGATTCCCCATGGAACGTGGAGGAACAGAGCAGCTGAGAGACCAAGCACATGGAGTGGGATAAAAAAATCAGAGGAAGTTTTGGGGCAGCCCAACTTTGGCATCTCCATCTTTGGAGGTGCTCAAGACCAGGCTGGAGAAAGTCCTGAGCAACCCCATCCGACCCCAGGGCTGTGTTGGGCAGAAGGCAAGACCAGAGGCTCCCAAGTCCCCCCTGTCCCAACTATGCTGTTAAAATAAATAGCAATAAAGTGACCACAAAGTCAGGTCAGCGCAGCCAGTCCGTTAACCCCAGGAAGGCAGGGAGCTGCACTTTGGCCTCAGCCCAGCACGAGATGTTTTGGTAATAATTTTAGCTGCTCCCACGAGCTAGAGAGGCTCTTGGCTCTGCAGTTTCCAGCCAGAGAAAGCAAAGCCGTGGTATGAATGCTCGGGAGCAGAGAGAAACAACCCCGAAATCTTCAGTCAAAGCCATTCTCCCAATTTAAACAGCAATCTATTCCCAACCTGATGGAAACCCCACCAAAAAAACTGATTGGAAGGTTAGTTCCAGAGGAACATGGTCCCAGTGGAAAGCAAAAAACAAACAACAAACAAACAAAAACAAACAAACAAAAAAAAACAAACAAAAAACCCAAAACAAAACCAAAAACCAAACTTTCAGAAGATTTTTAAACTCTCATTTCACACACAGACTTTATTTAAACCTCCTCGGTTTTCTTGTTTGACACGTAGCCAGACAGGATGAGAAAGCCCGAAAGAAGCTCCTCTGCCAGACCACTTTGATATTTTCTAAATTTAATTTCCGAGAGACAAAACAGGGGAGTTTGCTCTGCAGCAGCTTCTCAACTTCTCTTTCTCGGTCCGATTTGCGGGACACGAGAAAGGGAAGTTGTGAGCCTGGGGATGCCCCAGCGCGGTCACGACCCTCGGAACACCCAAGGCCAAGCCTGATGGACTCAGCTGTCTGGATTAAATGAAACTTCTTTGTGTCTGAAGGGAGGCAATGCCATGGGAGACCCTTCAGGCAAGCCCAGGTTGCTCTCCCCAGTGGGTGGAGGAGCTGAGGGATGGAGATGGATTTGGGATGGGGAGGAAGGGTTACCTGCACCAGTACCTGTCATCCCAGTCTGGCCAAGCCTGGCCAAGCAGTTGACCTGGCTCAATGGGTTTCATTTATGGTCCCTTAGAGGAGAGCAGTACCCTCCACTGTACCCCCCCATTCAGTATGGCTGGGGCCACGTGAGACCCCCAGCACCCCAAAAAACCTCACCTGGAGGACACACAGTCCTCCCATTGCAAAAACCAGTCTCAAGAGGTGTGCACATGTCACTCCGAGGTTGGTTCCCAGAGAAGGCAGGTGCATGGGGAGCCACAGCATCCATCTGGACCATAACCCAACATAACCCACCTCCCAAAATCAGTCACAGCCCATCTCTGTGTTTCAGATGGGATAAGAAGGGCTGGCACAAGCCCTTTCCTAAGCACCCCAAGTTTTGCTTAAGCCAGGGGGGTGTTTTGCTCCCTAGACTGACCCCTGGGGAGCTCCTGCCCCATCACAGGTGCCCTCCCAGCTCCAGCCCCCTCTGCCCTTGCCCAGCTCAAAGCCATATCTAGACACAGTTCTGCAGTACCACCTGTGGTGGGATCTCACATTTCCAGGCTCTCCAAGGAGCATGCCATTCCCAGGCACACCACACTCCTCCTCGGGCACTTCCAGTCCCGCAGAGCATCGCAGCCCCCCCCAACTGCACTTTATACCGAGAAATGTTTCATCACAGCCCTCTTACAAAGTCCCCTTCTTGCATGAGCGATGCTCGGGAACTTTGTTCCACCAGCAAACATCAGGAGGGTGTACAAAGGTCCTCAGCAAGGACCTTGGGCATCCATCCCAAACCCAGAGCTCGAGCAACACATTCCCAGCAACACACCCTGCAACCTCAGCCCCAAAAACCCTGAGGGAAACGCTCAACCAGGAGCAGGACAGAGGGAGGAGGGGCAATGCCTGCAGGAGCAAGGCTGGAGCAGGTCGATGAAGGGGCAGCCTTGTGCCACGAATTCACAGTTGCTTTATGCCCTGTGGGATGGGATTTTTATAGCACCATCTTTAACATTCTCAGATTTTAATTCCCCCTCGTAAGACTGGATGTGTTTATCATCCCTTTAAAATCCTCATTCCCGTTTTTTATATTTTTAACTCCTGGGGTTACGAGCTTTAAAGCTTAGTTATGTAGAGTGTAAAAAAAAGTTATGAATTATCTCTTTTAATCAAATCTAAATGTGAGGCTTTTAAATTTCATTGATTTGTCTCCCAACCCTGGGATGAGGAGTGCTGTGAGTAGCAGCCCACAGGCTCATTCCCCTTCCCTGCACTACAGCCAGCAGTTTTTCTGCTTCCAACTTGTTTCAACAAGCATAGAGCTGGATTGGGAAGGACCTTCAAATATCATCTAGCTTCAACCCCCTGCCCACGGCAGGGACACCTTCCACTAGACCAGGCTGCTCAGAGATCCATCCAACCTGGCCTTGGATATTTCCACGGATGGGGCAGCCACAGCTTCTCTGGGCACCCTGTGCCAGGGCCTCCCCACCCTCACAGGGAAGAATTTCTTCCCAATATCCAATCCAAACCTGCCCTCTGTCAGTGTGAAGCCATTTCCCCCTGTCCTAGCATTACAGACCCTTGTCCAAAGTCCCTCTCCAGCTCTCCTAAGAGCCCCTTTAGGCACTGGAAGGCTGCTAAAATATCCTCATCAAATACATCAGATTTGAGACAAGATGCTGGCTGTGATTAGGGACATCTTTACAGCAGCACTTCTCTCCCTCCCAGTGTTTTGGGTTGCTCTTGGCTGTCAGCAGGGATGTCAAGGTTTGCAGCCCTCCCACAGGGGGCTTATTCCCAGCGGCATGGCTAATCCTCTTGCTCCCAGCCAGGTTATTCCCTGGCATTGCTCCTCGGCAGGGCCCAGCAGGGCTGCTGGCCAGCAGGGCAGAGCACACCAGGATGTGGTGGGAGCACAAGCTGCCTCTGTTCACCACAACACACACCCCTGTCCTCACGCTGTCCCCTGCATTTGGTGACACCACAGCAAAAGAGGGGGCTGGAGGAAGAAACTCTGCAAACGGTTATGAGAAAAATCCTCCCTAAAAGTGAGAGAAGGAGGAGGATGAAGTGGGAAATCCCCCCTGCAAGAATTTCAGGAGCAGGCGTTGGAAGCAGGCAGCTGGGAGAGGAGCAGCAGAGGGGAGGGGGCTGGAGGAGCATCACTGGCAGCACTGTCCCCCTGCTCCCGGGCACAAGCTCTGTCCCTCCTCCTGGTCCCACGGCCCCTTGCTGCACTCCAGTCATGCCAAAACCAGCCAAAATCCACTTGTTTACCCCTCAACCTCAACCCAAGGCTGCCTCTCCCCCTTCCTGAGGGGGACTTTGCCCCTCCAAATACAGGAACCGCCTCTCCCTCACAGAGGGGCAGAAAGAGGTCAAACAACCCTAGCAGAAAGGTCTTGGGTGTTTTTTCCCCTCTTTCACCCACCACGATTTGCATTTCGCTCTCGGTTCCCTCCCGGGGGGTGGGAGAGGGCCCACCAAGCCCTGACACCCAGCTGCATCCTCCCCACACAGCCCCCGGTAGCAAACAAGAAGAGGAGCAGGAAGGCTTTGAACTGTGAAGGGCAAAGGTCAAAGAGTGCCATTCCCAGGCAGGAGCGAAGCCCCAAGGGCAGCACAGAACATCCCAACTGCTCCAGTGCCACCAGCCAAAACCCTCATGCGCTCCTGAGCCGAGGGACATCAGCTCACCACAGCTCTCTGGGAACAGCTTCCCCCATGGAAGTGGCTTATGGAGGGGAACAGATAATAAAAATAATCAAAATGTTACTAATAATTTGGCAGCTGCTTTTCATTTCAGAGCAGGATTGGCTCTCTCTGCCTGGCCCAGCTGGGCTCCGGGGGAAGCCAGCACCAAGGGGCAGCCACTGATCGCTCCTCAGCATCGGGAGGCTGAGCCTAAGGAAGGACTGTGCCAGAGGGGACAGCTGGCACAACTGGTTTTTCACCTAAAAATCAACCTGGGCAGATCAGATCTGACACTCATCTAACGTGGGACACCCCTAGGAGCGGCTGCTCCAGGAGCAGGCATGAGCCACCACATCCCACGACTGGGCACACACTCTGGTCCTTGGGGGCACCGGGTTGTGCCCGAGCGTCACTCACCCCTCTGCCTTTGGTTCACACCTTCCACAAAATCCAGCCCCTGGATGCTGCTGGTGACCCCATTTCCACGCTGAGGAAAGGAGCACCCCCGTTCACCAATGGGTTTTTCCTCCCCTGGCCCTCACGTTGAGATCCTTGAGCTGTTCCCGAACGGGAAGGCACCGCGTCACGCTGCCGGGACTCGCCCATGCCTGGCGCTTTCCCCACCTCCTGCCTGGGGTGTCTCCTCTCCCCCTCGCCTGCCACAAGCGCTGCCCGTAGGATTTCCTCAGGAAGGAGTTCCTGAAGGCTCACACACACAAAACAATCGGCTCTAAGCCAACACAAAGCCCCATCACTCTCCTCCCGAACACCAAAACGTGCCCTGAGCAGACACGGACGCTCCTCCTGCTCAACCCCTCGCAAGTTCCTGTACCCCAACTTTCTTAACACAAGCGTCAAGCAGGATTTGAGGAGGCACCTGAGGATCCCACCTCGCTCCCCACCCCAGCATTCCTCTCCCCTACGGAGGGGTGATTCCACGGATCTGGACTCACCTCAGCAAGCCCAGCTGCAAAGCCTCCCAGACGGTGGTGGGGAAGAGGCACCCCAAAAACTCACCGGTTTTGAGGCACTTCCCCTAAGAGCAGCATTTCTCCATATAACTCCTTCCCTGGGACCGAGCCCCAACACTTAAGGGCAGCCCCAAACCAGCCCAAGGTGGGGCCCAGGTGGGATTGGGACACCTGAGCCCAACCCACCCCCAGAGCTCCCCCCTTCTCAGAGGGGACAGAGCCCAGCAGGCACCAACCGAGGGAGAGGAGAGGATGAAGCAGCAGTCCCCAAAATACCAGCTTTGTGTTTGTCCTCCCCCCACCTCCAAGGGTCACCATCCCATTGCATCCCTTCCCATCCCTTCTCCCCATTCTCCTCCAAAGCCAGAAAACCCATTGCTGCTGCTAAAGTAAATACCAAGAGCTGCTATTTTTATCCAGCCCACGACCAGGCGTGTGTTATTTTTGGTGTTTAAACTGCAGGCTTTTTTTGTGGGAGGGGGAGAGGGAGGGGAAAAGGCAGAAGCATAGGGGAAAAATGAGAGGAATGTTTCTCCGGGAGCAGAGTTTTCCATTGCTTACTTTAAGCCAGACTGGTGTCTGCAAACAGAAATCACGAGTGGAGGAAGCAGCTGGGAAGAAAGGTGTGATCATGTCTGTAGTCACTTTGCTTCTCCTCCCACCCCACCATGCCGAGAAAAGCCCAAATAAACTGGCCCTGGGTACCAGCTGGGTGTTTTCAAGGCTCCCAGCTGTGTAATGGGGCAAACTGGTAAATAAATCAGCTGAATCCAATGAAACAAGCGGGAAGCAAGAGAGTGTTTCTATTTTCAGTGCAAAATGAGTAGTGTTTTCCAAATTAAATTAGGGGTTGAGGGAACTTGGGAGGAAATGGAAATTATCAGGGGGGCTTTTCAGCATGGAAAAGGCTTTGATCTCACATGGAAATAAGGAGTTGGGGAAGGATGGATGGAAAACGGGCTGGAGGTGGGATTTGATTTTCGGCTGGTCCCAGGCCTGGGCTCAGAGCGACAGCCCGTGATGTGACAGGAGCTGGCCTGGCATGGGCTCACTGAGTTCCTGTGCTTGAGGGGCACCAGCAAGCAGGGAGACGCATAATCAGGAGCTGCAGTGATTCATCAGCGCCTGAGTCACGGCTTCCTCCCGCCCAGTAAAGTTTCTGAGAAACAAAGCACTATTCCTTGGAGCCCAGATATGCTGCATGCCAAACAAAACTAGGAGGTGGCAGGTTCAAAAATCCCCCCAAAAACGTACCTTTTATCCACTCCACGTGGGAAGGAGCCGTGGAACTCCTCGCTGCAGAAGACATCCGCAAGGTCAAGCATCAAACAGTGTTTAGATTCGTTCAAAGCATCTCCTGTGCACCACTGTGCAATCATAGAACAGTTTGGGTTGGAAGGGACCTTTAGAGGTCAGTTATGGGGAAGAGCATGCTGGATTAGACAGTGGTCTGACTGATTATATTTGTATATTCTTGCATTAATTCTGTGTTTCTTAAAGTCTACCCAGTGCTTCCCAACTCGGTTTAATGGTATCACTACCCTTGATGGCATCAAGACTCTCCTCTACAGGCAGCAGCATCCCAAGACATCAGCACTGTCAGTGCCCACCACCTCTGCCACGTCACCACAATGCTCCTGCCTGAAGCCAAGAGGCTGCTGAAGCACCGTGCTCAGAGGGGCCCCCAAAAATCCAGGGAAGGTGCCCAGACCGGCAGCTCCTCCCTCGGTGAGGCCCCTGCCAAATTAAATTAGTAACAAGAAAGCTGGAGCCCCAGCAGGGCTGTTTGCCCAGGGAACAAAGCAAATCTCCCAGGCACTGGGGACAGACAAGGCTTTCAACCCCCAACCCCAGGGACGGGCACCCCGAGCCTGCTGTTTCCAGCCATGCTCGCCCTTGGAGAGCTCTGATAATAAATATTTCCAGGTGATCCTACAAGGGGGGGTTCAGAGGTGGTGTTATCCTATCTGGTGCTGTACAGGGGCCAGGTGTCCCTCAGGTGACTGTCAGCACCCAGGTGGCTCCTGGATCCTCTGGGAAGGTGGTTTGAATAGGAGGATTTGGTACCTGCAAATGAGGGAGTGGCTGCAGCTCAGTGAGGGGAAAGAGGTGGGATGGGGTGAGAGGTGGCAGGGAGAGACAGGATGGGGTGAGCTGGGATAGGGTGAGGGGACAGGATGGGGTGAGCCAGAGAGGGGTAAGCTGGGATGCAATGAGCCACAAACAAAATGCAAAGCCCCGGGATCTTCATTCTGCAACGTCAAACCAAGGGAAAAGTTCACGGCGTTAACAAGCAGCAGTTCTTTAGGGAAAAAGGGTTTGGTGCTTCCCACGGGACACAAACACCCTCCCAAAAGCCACAAGGAGGCACTTAGCACAAGCTGTAGCTTACAGTGTGTGTTTCTGGGGGTCTCTCACTCCTCTGACCCCAACAGGAGGGTGAAGGCAGCAGGTGGGAGGGCAGCACAGGCTGGCAGACAACTTGCCTCCATCCCTCCACCCTCCTGTCCGTCCTTTTTCCCTCCTATTCCCACCACAGCATTGGTCCTGGTGCTGCCAAGGCCCAGCAGGGGGAACATGGGGCTGTTTTCCAGCAGCCTCGAAGGGTCAAGCAGCCCTGGCTACCCCAGCCTGACGAGTCGGCGCCAAGGCTGAGACAGAAAAGCAAAGCTGCTGGCTCTGGAGCATGAAGGAGGGCAAGGAGGGCAAGTGTAGGGGGTTTTGCAATCCAAAAGGATTCGAGCCAACCAGAAAAATTCCAGTAAAACATTTTTCTAGTCGCAGCTTGCCCAGCTGTCAGCACCACAACACTGCATGGAGGCTGCTCAGCCCCGGACTGGAGAGCAGATGAGATCTGGTGATTCCTGGATATCCCCGACATGGAGATAACAAAGAAATGAGATGGAGAGAAGGCAGCAAGTGAAGGGTGGGGGTAGAAATCCAAATGGAACCAGGATCACAGTTTAAAGATATTGAATCATAGAATCATTTAGGTCGGAAAAGCCCTCTGAGATCATCGAGTCCAACCCTCAACCCAGCACTGCCAAGGCCACCACTACCCCCCTGCCTGGCCTCCTGCTTGGCTGCAGTGTCCCCTTCCAGGGACGGAGAGTGGATATCAGGGCAGTGTGGGGCTGACAACATGTGGGGTGGTGGTGACCAGCTCAGGGTGGCAGTAGCAGGGTGCAGGTGGTTACAGGCTACAAGGAGGCAGTGACAGAGTGCAGGGTGCCAGCAGTGATGTGACGCAGGATGGCAGTGGTGACAGGGTTCAGAGTGGTGGTGGTAGGGTGGCAGTGGTGACAGGATGCAGGGTGACAGAGGTGATGGGGCACAGGGTGGCAGTGATGGGGTACAGGGTGGCAGTGGTGACAGGGCACAGGGTGGCAGTGGGGATGGGGTGCAGGGTAGCACTCCTGTCACCGCTCTTGGGGAGCTGGAGCTCAACCCTGTCCTCCCCATTACAGAGGCAGTTATCGCCACCCCACAACCCTCCCTGCTGTCCTCCGAAAACACTTCTGTGAAAACCTGCGCTGCACCAAAGCCCAACGAGGGAAACGCTTGGTTCCCTCCCTCTCCCCAGCAGCTTCGGGGCCGGTTTGTGCCCCCTCCCCGCCTCTCTCCCAGCCTGGCAGCGCCGTGGTAGCGCCCCCTCTCTCGCAGTGTTGGGGTTCCGCGATGGGACACGCGGGGCCGTGGCGGGGGGGCAGCCCCCGATGGGGCCGGGCGGGCGGCGGGGCCGGGCCAGGGGCGGGCGGGCCGGGCCGGGCCGTCCCATTTCCTCCGGAGCTGCTGCCGGGACGGGGCTGCGGCACGGAGGTGAGTCGGGGGGTACCCGGGAGAGGGGGGAAGGGGGTCCCAGGGCTGGGCTTCTCTGGGGCGTTATCCTCGGCTTTGTGTTACCCAGATCCAGGGCTTTCCTCTCTTTTTTTTTTTTTTTTTTAAATAAGTTTTTAAGGACAAATCATCTGCTTCGCGGGGTGAAGTGGGGTGGGCAGCGGGGCAGAGGCGGTGGGGACGGTGGCACTGGGGAATTGGCGATGAGGAGCGACCAGTTCTCAGGGAATGAGTGTCAGGGGCGGCCTGCCCATCACCGGGGCTTCGGGGCACCGGAGCCAGGGGCTGAGGCTGCATCCACACATTTCGAACAGCACAGAATCCTAGAACGGTGTGGGTTGGACGGGACCTTAAAAGACCACCTAGTTCCAACCCCCCCTGCCCTGGACAGGGACACCTTCTGCTAGACCAGGTTGCTCCAACCTGCTGCCTAACCTGGCCCTGATACATTTCCGGGGATGGGGCAGCCAAAAGTTTTCTGACAGCTCCATGAGCCTCTTGTGACCAAAACCCGACGCGATCCACCCCAGGGAGGGCCACGGGTGGGGGCTGCTGCCCGCCTGCACTGCCTGTGCCGTGGTTTGGAGGAGCCCGGGACGGCTCAGAGGAGCTCCCGGCGCTGTCGGGGGTGACAGTGGCGCTCACCTAAACTCAGAGCTGGTCTCACGGCCAGAGTCACCGGATCCCGGGCCGGCGGAATCCGTGCGTGTGCAGCCGGTGATGACGAGGGGGCTCCAGGCAGCGGCTTGCAAAATAGTTTCACTTTAACCCTGTTATCCAACATTCATATCAGTAGTTTTCCAAATCGCTCCCTTTAGGGGATGAAAGAATCTACGTGTGGCTCCTGGCAGGAAGGTTTGATGGTGGTGGGAATGAGACGAAGCTGTCGCTGCTCGTGTTTGCTGGGTGGTGGCTTTCGGTGTTTGCTTTTTACGATTGAGGAAGGTCTCCGTAGCCTGCTGCGGGCTCTGGGAGACCGACGGCAAAACTCTTCTTAGTCACCATTTCCGAAACAGCAACGTGCAATCCCTGCTAAGGAAACTGCACACCCTCGGTGTCAGGTTTCATCCAGTTTTCCTTTAAGTCTGCAGGTGCAAGTGGGAAAAATAGATGCCACTCGTGTGACAGCATAGCTGTGTCTCCGCTGGGTGTATCAGGGAGCTCACAGGCTGTGACAGCGAAATTAGCCTCTCCCAGACGGCCCCATAGCTGCCAGCGCCATGAAAAGTCGGTATAAAGCTGACATAAAGCCAGCAACAGAAGGAAATGGTTGTGTTTAATAACGTGATTCCTGCTCTGCACTACTTAGCAAGTTGTCAGTTGTCCCCCGGAGCTGCCCCTGCTCTCACCATGGGTGCAGGGGGCACCTTAGGGCAGCCCCATTCCTGCCTGAGCCAGGCAGCATCTCAGCTGAGAGGGGCAGGCTGAGCTTTGTTAGGCTGGAGGGAACGTCATGCAGACCTAAGAGCCTGTTGAGGGTTGAGCCTAAAGAACTTAACTAGCAAAATCAGGTCCTAAAACACCTCCATCTCTCTCCCCTCTGCCACGGTGACCCAGCGTAGCAGTTGCCAGCAAACTGCAGCTTTTCTGCAAACTCTACCTCCATCCCCGGTTGCGGTCGCTCTGCAGCGCACAGGATGTGGAGAAGCCAGCATTGCCGAGGCAACCCCTCTGTTTTGGTTTCCCCACACCGGGGCTGGCAGCCTTTACCCCTCCCCTCAGCCAGGAGAGCCCTGTGCACCGCCGACGGTTTGCGGTGCCATCGCACACCAGCCCTCAAAGGGCGCTTGTTTTCCACCCACGGCCGCCCGTAACTCCGGAGGAGTGGCACACGTTCCCCACCCTTGCAAACTGGCTCTTTCGAAGCCAACGTGGATTAAAGGGCCTCGTGTTGGATTAAAACTTACACAAGCGGCACAGAGCCTCCCCATGCAGAGCTGCTGTCAGGCGGAGCCGTCCATCCCTGGCCACACGAGTTCCCAAGCGAGTTTCCATGTCAGCTTTCCCCTGACTCTGCCAGCACCAGCTGCCCAAAAACAAAGAGCTCATTTAGCAGGGTGCTTCACTGCCCTCCCCAAGACACAGCCCTGTCTCCCAGTGCCTCCCTGGCCCTGTTTCTTTGGCCCATATCTTGACCCAAAAACCAGCTGGCCTCCCAGTGGCAGCTCCATGTGCTTTGGACAGGCGGTCCACACCCATCCTGGACCACAGTGAGGATGCAGCTGTCCCCGTTCATCCCTTCTCTAAGGGGAGATGTTGCTGTTGCACCAAACTGAGCAGCAGCACGGATTTTTCCTAAATGCAGCTCCTCACTGTGCACTCGGGCTTTCAGCTGGCAATGGGTGGCCTTGGGTAACTCCTCTGCCCTTGGAGCTGTCGGCTCCAAAGACACCAGTTTTTCCACTTTCCCCTCACCACTTCTTTTTTTTTCCCCCTTTTTTAATATGAAGAACCCCTTTATTTAGCACACAGACATCCCTTCATCTACAAAACAAAAAAGCGATGCACACACCAAAAAGAAAAAGCATTTGAAAAGCAACTGCACGGCCCTGCTGGGAGATGGCCCCTGGGATTTGGGCGCTGCTTGCTCAGGGTGGTGGCAGGTACCTCCACCTTCCCCTTCCAAGGGATGCTCAGCCACATCCGGGCTTGCCCAGGGTGGCCACACGTCCCCAGCTGGGCACTTCCCAGGAACAAACAGCCACAGCCTCTGCGTTACATTCAGCTCCGGTTTTGAAGTGGAAACATTTCAAAGGCCTTTGCTTTTTTTTTTTTTTTTTTTGCTTTTGCTTTCTTTTTTTCCTCTGCAAACAATTAATTACAAGTTTAAAAGGAAGTTCCAGCCCTCTTTCCCTCCCCAGAAGCTTAGAGGCAATAAATATAAAGCAGCTCCAACGCAGGAATAAAATTGTACATCCTGTTTTGTCTGAAATTAAGGCGGTTGTTGTTTTGGGGTTGTTTGGTTTTTTGACTTCTTTTTTGGAGTCAAGTGTATCGTAGGCGTCCAGTATTCCTGCCTGGATAACGAGCTGTCAGGGTATTTATGGATAAATGGCAAACCTGCACCACTTGGATGATTCAGGCTGAGGAGAAGCTGCTCTGTTTGTTTGTGTTGCAGTTTAACCTTTACTAGAGCTGCCCAAAAAAAAAAAAGCCTTGGAGAGGATGAAGGTCAGGACAGGGAGCAGCTTTAAGAGGTGGCTCTTGCTTATCTCCCCTGTGAGCAAAAGCAGATCTGGGATGCTCCCCCACTGGCTCCAGGCAGGGGATAGGAAGAGGATGGGCCAGATTTGAGTCTCTGAGTGGTAGCCCATGATTTCTCAGGTGGGGATGGTGATGATATTACTGTCCTCTCTTGAGTGGCATGAGGGAATGTGGGGAGCAGCTGCTTTCCCAAGGCTGGGAAGCTGCTCAGCAACAGGGCGGAAAAGGCTCTTCTGTCTCTCACAAGAGCATCCCTCCTTTCTGAGTGCAAGCCATTCTGCTTGCCTACCTCCAAAAAACCCTCACTCTATATGTGTGTTTATATAGATATTTATGTAAATTCCTTTTCGAGCAAATGGAAACTGGAAGATGCAAGCAGACTGGACAAAAATCCAGCAGTAATAATAATAATAATAATAATAATAAACTTCTTGCAGCCAAAGGCCAAACCACCTCCCAGAGCGCTGCATTTCATTTGGTAAATCGCAAATGAGAGTTTTTTTTAAAAGGCACCCACAGAAATTCATGTTCAAAAAAGAAACCACCAGCTAATTGGGGCCAGCTCAGCTGCGATCTCGTGCAGAACAAAACAATAGATTTTGTGAGGGGCACAGAGGATAAACCCCTTACTTTTAACAGGATTTGAGCACTTCTAGAATCCCAGATTGAGAGCTCAGTGTCCCTGCTGGGGGATTCATCTTTTGGGGTCCTGGCAGTCAGGTCCAAAAACTAGAAGCCAGGGGTGACCGGTGAAAAAAGACCCCGCACAGCTTTGTAGCTCCCAGGACAGCGTTTCCAAAGGGAGGTTTTCCCTGGGGAGACACCTTTCTGGAGGCTGCTCAGCATCTCCTGCCTGCCTCAGCAGCAGCACGAGGGTTGTAGTTAGGGCTGGGTGGGACTGGTGGTTCCTTTTTTGGGCGAGGCTGGTGGCTTGGTAGTTCGTTAGTTCGTGGTGTAATTGCAGAGCGAAGGGGAGGATGCACGGTGCATGTGCTGGCTGGGTGAACTGGAGGATCCCAAAATGCTCCATGCAAGAGAGCATCCCTTAGCAGGTGCCACAGCAGGAACAAATGGGATGCAAAGCAAGGAAGGGCAGTGCAAGGAAGGGCAAGGAGGATTTAGCTGGAAGCAGCCCCAGCCTGGGTCCCCCTGTCCCCTCCCCAGGGTCCCCAAGCTCTGTGAGAGCTGCTGAGGAGCTGGTGTCACAGGGACAAGTGGAGCGACCCCTCTGGGACACCTTTGGATTTCAGGCTGTACCTTTCAAGTTTTTGTTATGGAAGTGCTGGTTTTCCTTTGACTGTGCCTCAGTTTCTCCTCTTGGGCAGATGGGGATTTCAGCTTTCCCTCAAGAGGCCACGGGGCTTGAATCTCAAAAGCTGGCAAAGACACCGATGTAAAATGCTGAGCGAGGGTGAAACAGGGTGTTAGAGCCTGATAGTGCCCCTGCCAGCTCCTCACCTGTACAGCCTCTAATTCTGTGACCCCTGTGTTGAACCAGAACTGCAGACTCACAGCACAAAGCTCCCTGCCCTACTCAGACCCCCCTGGGAGCTTTGCCTGGCTCCAGGGGAGGAGGAAAGCCTGAGCAGAGGCAGCAGCTCCCTGCCCCTGGAGGAGGGCTTCCCTGGGAGCCCTGCCACTCAGGAGCACCTCTCCCTCCCTGAGGGAAGAGGAAAACCTTACGTCAGGCCACAGAAATGCTCCTCAGCCCTACCCAAACCCTTGGAGCAATTCCCAGGTGAGGCACGGCAGCTCCTCCATCCCCAGCCAACCCTTATCCTCCCCTGCTGCCGCCTTTGTGGCCAGCCCTGGGTGCAAGGAAGGCAGCCCGTTGGGGTCCACCCACTGAGCAGTGCCTGTGAGTCCCATGACCATAGTCCTCATCAAAAATCCAGGTGGTTTAACCACAGCTCCCACCCCAAACCTGCTGGCAGTGCCCTGGGTGTCGGGGCCTCTATGCTGCCCATCCCAGCCCACAAGAAACAGTCTGTCCAAGGATACCCTGTCCCAGGATGGATCAGGGGTAAGGGGAGACCTGTGACATGTGGAGTCCCAGCTCCAGTGGCAGCACTGCTCTCCACAGTGGTCCCTTGCCTGGATCAGGCAAGTCCCTTCCCAGACAGCAAAGCTCCTCCTGCAGACAACATCTCCTCTGCTGAGAAACAAACCCTACAAAGGGCCAGTAAGAGCTCGGTGCTGTTGATGCTCAGCGAGGGCTGAGTTGTAAGTGCAGAGGGGCAGGATTTGTGCTCAGCCAGATGTCAAGGCAAGAAGGGATGCCCAAAGCCCTCCTTGTCCATCCCCACCACCAAAAAAGAATCCCAGGATGTAGAAGGCTGTGTTTCTCAGATGGAGAAACCCAAAGGGACGTGGCAGGCAGCACAGTCCATATGGCCCCCATGACCCCAGATCCGTCTTACCCTGCTGAGGCTTAGGCTGTGCTGGCAGCTCCATGGAGAAAACTGCTGAGGGAGCAGACACCTGATCCATGTAGTTTCTTGTCTCTGCAGGCACCATCTCAGGACGCTTGTGGAGCCCACGAGCCGCTTGCAGGAGCTGAAGGTATCCCAAGGGACCTTTGCAGAGCAAGCAGCCTACTCAGGAGCCGACATGCAGCAGAAGATCAGCTCTTTCTTTAACTCCATCTTGGAACTTATCCGTACCAAGCACGAGGAAGGCATCTTCAACACTGTCTGCCTGGCCGTGCTGCTGGGACTGCCCTTGGTCGTCCTCATTGCCTTCATCTTCATCTGCTGCCACTGCTGCTTCTGCAGACGGAGGAGAGAAGGCTCCAGGAAAGGTGGCCCCAGCAGCAATGGGCACCTGCACGCCGAGAGGAACAAGAAGAAAAAGAAGAAGAAGAATAAGAAGCAGGATGAAGAGGACCTGTGGATCTCTGCTCAGCCCAAGCTGCTCTTGCTGGACAAGAGACCCTCCCTGCCCATCTAGCAGACAGGAGGGTGTTCAGGCCCTCTCCTCTGAGATGCCACCAGTCCTTACAGCTGTGCACCAGGAGGGGCAGGGAGATGCCAAAGCTGCTGCCACTTTGTGGTGACTTTCTACAGAGGCTGAGCCCAGTGTGCTGAAGGGCCAGCAGAGAGCAAGGCAGTCGGGCACAGGTTATACAGGCCCCTCCTCTCCCACCATGACAGCGTGGCCAGGGGCAGAGACCCCTGCAAAGGACAGGTGAGCACGCAAGGGGGACCTGCCACTGGGCCACACGTGCCTCCTGCCACGAGCACAGCGCACAGTCACCGGGCTGGCACCCAGGGAACGGGGGGGAGGCTCTCCCTCTGCACTCGTATGCAAGCAGAGGCACCGTGGCACAGACAGGGGTGCACAGGACAACGAGCACCCAAAGACCACCTGCACGCTCCCCCTGCTCAAACACTGACAGCCACGAGTGCGGCAGGCACAGACACGCCTCGTTTGCTGGCCCTGCCGTGGAGATGGCACAGCTTGGCTGCCTGGGCTCCGTCCAAACCCAGCTCGCTTTGGAGATGCAGAGAAAGCCAAGGTACCCCACAGCTCAAAGATGTGCCACCTTCCTGGCTACCAAACCAAAGGCACCTGAGAGCATCTGAAGCCAGATGCCCTCAGCCCGACCTTAGAGACCTCACGACACCATCTTAAGGCAGCACAGCAGAAGGTTGCCTGGCCACCCAGGCCAGAGGCAGGGACGAGAGAGGAGGCTGCCAGACCAGCCCTTTTGCACCAGCACTTAAAAAAACCCCTTCCTTGAAAGACTG